CCAGCTCCACACTGTGTTATCTCACACTCCAGCATCGGCAGTCCTTACTATCTCACACTGTGGAAATTTATTTTATTTTGATAATTTTCAATTGAGCATAAATTAAACTTCTGTAAAGTCACTGACTGTTGAGACATTTCACATCCCAAGTTCAAGAGGAGAGAATAAGTCTACAGGAAAGTCTATGCCCACTTGTTGAATAAGTTCATGATCAGGTTGGTTAATGCTTATGACTAAACAGGGTAGCAACTCTTACCTTCCCTCTAGCACGCTCTCCCTCTACTGCGTTCATCATACAGCACCAATGCACTTTGTAGAATTTTTGCATGACAGAACAAAGCCATACTGTCCTTCACCTGTATCCCCTCCAAAATAACTCCTTGGGAGATAACCTGAAATTATTTTATTTCCACTTTGTTCAAGGTAACAGAAGGCAGCCTTAGGCTCAAAAGTGAGGAACAAACTATCCAATCTGTCATGTTCCGTGCAGGTCAACTCTGACACAACCATTCATTTTGTTTCATTCTGGGAAGTAACTCCAATGTCAGTCTGTGCTATTTTCTTTTTGTTAAATTCCTGGGATAGGCAGAGTCAAAATGAGATGCAGTGACTCCTGCTCAAAGTTTCTTGGCTTGTGTATGTGTGTGTGTATCTCGGTGGAAATTAAATGACAAGAACTTTGTGCTCAAAACCAATCTCCTGCAATACCAAATAATTTCTTATCCTCGGCTGTTCAGTCTAACATTAAAAGTGACTACTTGGATATGATTGCAAGAGAGCTGGCAGTCTTTGAGGAATCCGCATCATCCAGGATTCAATGAAATGTAAAAGACATTTGGATAAGTACACGAACGTGAAAGATTTGGAGAGGTATGGACCAAACGCAGGCAAGTCGGACTAATTTAGTTCGGGAAATTGGTTGACATAAACTAGTTGGACCAAAGGGTCTGTTCCATGCTGTATGACTCTGACTCTCTCTACCATTGTTCCCCCGCTGTCTTTGTGGCTAAACCCCTTTCACAGTCCACTACAGCAACACAGCCCTCTATATATTTATCCTTATTTCGGTTTAGCATTATTGTTTCTGATCAAAGTTTCTCATTCCTAAAAGAATGCCAAATTCTACCAGGTTATGGTTGCTGTTATCTAGATACCTCTTACTTGAAGAGCATTTATTAAAACTATCTGAATACGCATTACCAGATTCAAAATAGCCTGATCCCTGGTTGGTGCTGCAAATATTGTTTCAGGAAACTGTACCAAATGCACTTTTTTTTTTTATTCATTAGTGGAACATGGACATCACTAGTGACAGGCTAGCATTAATTGCCTGTCACTAGTTGCGCTTGAGAAGGTTGACCTGCTGTAGGTTGACCCATGATGCTCTTAGGAAGGAAATTCCAGGATTTTGACCCAGCAACAGTGGAACAGCAATATATTTCCAAGTCTGGATGTGGGTGACTTGGAGGAAGCTTGCAAGTGGTGGTGTTCCCATGTGTCTGCTGCCCTTGCCCTTCTAGAAGGCAGTAGTCATAAATTTGGAAGGCTTTGTCTAAGGATTTTTGGTGATTTTCTGCTGTGCATCTTGTTGCTACTGCTGCTATTGAACATCAGTGAATGCTTGTGGATGTGATGTCAATCAAGCGGGCAGCTTTGTCCCGGATGATGTCGAGCTGCTTGAGTGTTGGTGGAGCTGCACCCATCCAGGTGAGTTGGGAGCATTCCGTCACACTCCTGACTTGTCTTGTCAATGGTGGCCCGGACTGGGGAGTCAAGAGGTGAGTTACTTGCTGCAGGATTCCTAGCCTCTGACCTGCTGATGTAACCATTGCTTATGTGGCAAGTCCAGTTGAGCTTCTTGTCAATGGTAATCCCAAGGATGGTGATGGTAATGTTTGGAGCATTGTCTGTAAGGTTGTTGACTTGCTTGCTGAGCTGGCTTGTTTTTGTTCCGACGTTTTGTCACCATGCTAGGTGACATCATCGGAGGCTCCACTGATGATGTCACCTAGTATGGTAATGAAACATCTGAACAAAAACAAGCCAGCTTGGCGAGCAAGTCAACAACCTCATCCACAACCCGAGCTACAGATCTTTGCCAGTACTTTAAACATTGTCTGTAACATATGATTCTGTGAGCATGATTATGTCAGGCTGTTGCTTGACTAGCCTGTGAGACAGCTCTCTCAATTTTGACAGTAGCCCCCAGATGTTAGTAAGAAGGACTTCCCAGGGTTGACATGGCTGTTTCTGCCTTTGTCTTTTCTGATGCTTAGGTTGAGGCCAGGTGGTCCGTCTGGTTTCATGTCTTTGTTGAGACTGATCCCTCTGAAATGGCCTAGCAAGCCATTCAGTTGTAAGTGGACAGTCAACCACACTCCTGAAGGTACGGAGTCATACATAGATCAAGCCAGAGGAGGATGACAGATTTCCTTCCCTGAAGGACACAAGTGAACCAGATGGATTTTTTTTTTCTGATTTATCAGTAAATGAGTAATCAGTGGCACGGTTTGAACCTAGGTCCCTAGAACATTAGCTGAGTTTCTGGATGAATTGTCGGGTGATAATACCACTAGGCCATTCCCTTCCCTTTAATCTTTCTCTATGATGTGTTCTTCTTTACTGATTTGATTTCCCTCACATTAACTATTACTTTAAAGCTGGAGCATATAACTGGGTTCCCGTAGATTTCAGGAGATTGTTCCAAGCCTTTACAAAAAGCTATTTGCCCTTCCATAAGACATCAGACTGTGTATTTTCCTTTTATTTTTGCAAGCTGTCCCAGAGTAGTGCTAGACAAATCTTTGAGCCATTACAAAAATGCTGCAATGATATTTCAATATGTCAGAATGTGTGGAATTACGCTGCACTTTTTCAAGAATGAAAAGAAATACGTTGTGGATAGAACTTTACTAAATGTTCAGACTTCATTGGCCATAACTTTTAACACTATATTTAATTCATACGGCCAGTGAAGTCTGTATATTTAGTAAAGTTCTTTCCACAAAGTATTTCTCTGCCTTAAAAAGCTTAAAAATTCAAGACTTGAATATTGTGATCAGTGTAATGCATTTAGAGATTGCCGAGTGTTCTATCAAAATGGTACAACTACATTAGAATGGAATACCGTCATTTGTGAGAACAGTTTGCCTGAGGAGGTTTTCTCTGTCACTGACAGGGTGAGAAGAAAAATTGAATGAGCTATTGCCTCCGAGTAACTAGTACAGATAGGCAAATCAGTAATGTCAATGAGAAGGTCTGTATTCTCGGAGGATGTAATAACTTGAATTTGAAGGAAGGAGTAAGGAAAATTTAAAACTGAAAGAACTGCTGAAAATCAGAAAGAAAAACAGAAATTGCTGGAAAAACTCAGCAGGTCTGGCAGCGTCTGTAGAGACAAATGTGAATTAACATTTTGGGTCCAGTGAACCTTCTTCAGTCCCTTACTTGACCCAAAACGTTGACTATGCTTTCTTTCCACAGATGCTGTCAGACCTGCTGAGTTTTTCCACAATTTCTGTTTTTCTTTCTCTTAGTTAAGAAAATGTTCTTTCTTCATTTTAAGATTTCTGGGAATACTCCTGCAAGTGTGGAAAATTGTTGTGATGTGGTGTTAAACCCGATTGATCAGGAGGGCTGTATAGTCTGTTTGAAAAGCTCTACTCCTGTCACATTGTTTTTTGAGATGAATTCCCAAACTTAATTTGAAATGACAGTGCTAATTAGAACTGATTTACTTTCATAACCTAATTCCAGCAGCGCAGATGCTGTTTACTAATTCACCTCCCTCAAGCTGTTTTGCTAGAAGTTGGGTACATTGGGTGTTATGTAAAGTGTTACTCTGGTTGACAAGTTCTGTAACTGTATGGTAAATTAAAATACACAGTATTTTCCTTTTTTTTTCAGGTACAAGTTTCCTTTGACCTCAACAATGTGCAAATGAAGTATTTTGATGAAGATAATGAAGAGGTAAGTGCTTGTAGTGCTCAAATATTTTGGAATATTTTTTGGTTTTCTTCGTGTTACCCTGGCTTTTAATTCTCAAAGTAGGAATATCAATTACTTGTGTAACCTTCTCTAATTAATTAATACAGATATTTTGTGCAAGGTTGTGCTGAGAACTCCTTAGTACCTCTGGTCCATTAGCACTGGCTTAAACCTGTGCTTGAATATTGTTTTAATGCCCAACTAATAATTTCCTGCAGAATAAATATGAATAAATAAATTCTCTGGGCTCACCTGGCTGCAAGAGCACACACCAATTGTAGTGATTGGAATGAGGTCAGGCAGGTGGACCTCCATAAATATGAGTTCCCTGATTGGGGCTGTTGACCTAGTCCAATGAGGGAGTTACGGCTGGCAGCTATAAACAGGAGTGGCAGGGGTTCTGCTCACTGTAGGAGCCAGCGCTGAGCTAGCTGGGTCGGTGTCATGTGTTATGCATGTGTAAACAAAAGGGTGACTTGGAGGTTGGATACCAGTCTTCGTGGAGTTATTTCACCAATGAAAAACAGGAGTCATGTTGAATCCTTAGCAGATTCAGAAATCCGATAATTGAGCTAGTCCTGCAGGATGCAGTTGATGAATGACTAGCTGGTCTGGCATATTAATGCGATGTGTCAGAATAAATCCGTCACGAGGTCTAGATAAAGCTGACACATTGGCTAGTTTTATAAACGGTGGAAGCTTGCCAGTGATCTCTGCTGGTATGTAATCTGGAGGGTTTTCACTGGTTAACCTCCAGCTGTCATCCTGTGTATGCCTCAGGTCCATAACCTTGATTCTAGTCAACCTGCTTCAAAATTCTGTAAGTTTGAGCAGAATTTAGAGATGCAAGTCTATGTCTCGTACACAAACTGCATGTGATTTTCTCAAACTTGCCTTAGAAACTTGTGCTAAGTCTTTGCAGGAATTAATTGCCTTGCTGATCAAAATTCCATGTTCACAGCATGTGCATATATGATATTGCTTTGATATGCTCTTTTGCTCCCAAGCACCTTGGTGTTTGAGGAACGGAACCCTAAAGATAGGTCAGCACTTTGACGATTAGTTTTGAAAGCTATGTAAGTACTTGATTTTGAAAATGTTGAGAATATTCCATAGTTCTTGTTTTATTTCATAACTTGTTTTTTGTTTTTTAGGTATCTGTTAATAGTGCAGGTGAGTGTGCAATAGAATTAAATTTGAAAATACAGACAACCTGTAGATGATTTACACGTCAGTCACTTTTGAAATATTCAACAATGTAACTTCGTTGGGTTTCTTAAACATTTGGCTTGCTTGCAATAAGTTGATAGCAGAAAACAAAATTTTGCTGTGACTCCAGAATCTTTAATTTTCAGAATAAGCTTAAAATATTTAAATCTTTATTTTCTCCCCTCTTCATGCCTGCCATTTTCGCAAGTAGCTCAAACAGTTCCAGCCCTCGACCAATGAAGTTTTGGAACTAGCTTATTGGTGTACAAGACTACTATACTTACACAAAGAGCCTCAGGACATACTGTGTGCTCAATACCACCTGTACTATCCAAATTACCTAGTTAAATTTGTGCTTTGCAATCCTCATTATGATTCATACCTTTTTTGTTTAATAATTGGGTTAAGATAAAACCTATGTTTGTAGCATTGTATAAAGAACCCATCTTCTTTTAAACAATGTTTAATTGTTAACTATAAATGTTTACTATTGGAGTATTATTTTTGTGAAATGTTGAACAGTGCTAACTAAATGGTGCTATATAGATGCTCTTGTAAACAAGTGTGTGTTTAAAGTGCAATATTGGACCTAATCGCTGATTAACTTGCCTGGAGGTGTTCAAACTGCAGGTTTAGCATTAGTACCTGAACACTGGTTAGAAGTTTTTGTGGGCTGTAAATGCCTCTTTTTTTTTTTTTTTTTGTTTTTGCTGAGCGTATAGATGAAAAGTGAAGGCTGGCTGACACTAAGGAGAAGGTTTCAGGTTGGCTCAGGGACACAGTAAGAGGTCACCGTAGATTTTTGAAAGTGACACTGGTGGTTCTTGCACATGTCCAGAAGAAGAGGGATGCCCTTTACCTGCCAGGGTGAAGGAGTCCATCTCACCATCCTATCCCTTTCTCCTCTAACAGCTATTGCTGTTTTGTCTGATGTCTTATTCCTCCTTTCGACCCAGATGATGCCCGAGAAACATGCAGACAGAAGGACATAGTAATGCAATATTGTTTATTGGATTAGTAATCCAAAATCCCAGGCTTGCTTTCTGAGGTCATGGGTTTGAATCCCAATGTGCTAATTGGTGAAATTTAAATACAGTGAAAATCTGGAATAAAAAGTGAGACTCACTGTAACCACTGTCAAATGTTGTTAAAACTTATCTGGTTTGCCAGTACTCTTTTAATAAAAGGAAACATCCTTGTCTGGTTTGACTCCCATGTGATTCCAGACCCACAGCAATTTGGCTGATTGTAATTGCCTCTGGGCAGTTAGGGATGGGCAGTAAGTACTGGCCTAATCAATGTGCTGACATCTCACCAACAGTTTTTTTTTAGAAAAAGTATATCCTTTTCTCCAGATTATACCTACAGAGTATAGTAGTATAACATTATCTTTTTCTTTAAGTGAAATCCCCAGAGAATTTAACTGTTGGAGTTTTGGTGAAGTCTTGACAAAGTATTCCAAAAGGTCTTCCAATGTGTTTTAAAAGTACTCTTTAAAATTTCAATAATAAAGAAATAGAAAGTGCGTACAACTCTTAAGTTGTGCTGAAAATAATAGCAGTGAAGTGTTTACTCCGAGTCAGCTTGTTACTATTAGGACAGGATGTTACAATGAGTAACGGCCTTATCCACAAACCATGCCAGTCTCCTTGGTAAGGTCTAATAAATTTAAGTTGTAAGTAACTACTGAACAATCCTTTTGGCAGTAGTTTCAGCACATTTCAACTTTTCTGAGTGGTTTCTTGTGGTGAGCTCAATCCAATCCAGTACTCCAGCCCGCACCCTATCTTGACCACGTAACATGCTATGTTCCCTGTAACTTTTTTATTTTGGATATGTAGTTTAGTCATCTGGGGAAGTGCAATGTTCATTGCAAGGCTAAATAGCTAGAGTGTGAAGCAGACAGGCACCTACAATGCACCTGGAATCGTTGTTTTTACAGTGCTGGTATATGGAGGCCTGTCTCCTTGCTTTGACCCACAGTTTATGTGGAATGGTGCCCTTCAGGGTACATAAATAGGTGCCTCCCTCTCTAATGCCTTTGTGGTCTATGGCTGATAACCAGTATAGACTTAGCTCCATAAGGTACATGTTTGGAAATTTTAATTGCACGTGTACACTCTGTTCTGTATGACTGTTTTTTAAAAACTGTAATTTTTTTTACAACAGAGGAATATGAAGAAGTTTTGAAGGTAATTATGCAACGATTAACTATGATTTAATAATGTGTCACTCAGTGTTACGCCAATCCTTTACTTTCTGCTTAATAACAATGTTATGAAAAATGAGCAGCATTGTTGTAAGGAAAGTGGTTCAGAATACAGTAATAAAGATGACATGTAATATGTATGCTGGCCTGGTTACTTCATTATAATCAAATATATATTAGTCAGTTATACTTGCCTTACATTTTATCGTGTATGAATAATCATTTTCATGTCGATTTATAGTAAAAGTTAATAATAATTATATTAGGATCCCAACTGATGGTATTACTTGACAAGTTCAGATCCCAGAATGAAAACTTGCTTGATGAATCATGTTTATTTTTCTTAGTTCATGGGGTGGTTAGTCACTGACATATTCACATGAGGCTACAGGCTTTCTTTTTGAACGAAAGTTTTTTACGTGAAAGGATAATAAAAGACAAAATGAGCTATCTAAATCTAGAAGTCAGTTAGAAAGATCTCAAAACACACAACAACCTGTTTCCCAACTCTATACGTTAAAGATACTATACATTTAAATGCAGTGGAATTATACCCAGATCTGAACTGACATTTAACAATTTATTTGCTGTAGTGTTGAGACAATTTAATGGTTCCTTTTCTGATCTACTGAATGACCTTTTCACAAATCTCAACACTTAAACTTCCTTGGTTCTAATAACCCGCAGATTTCTAACCAGCCTCTCCTGGTTTGTTAGTTTCACAAATGAAACCTTTCTACTGAGGTGACTGGCTTCCTAAACTACTCCTAGGAAGGAAACTAAACTTGCTTCTAAACTCAACCTTAGTGTCTACTAAACTGAACTGAAAACAAACCACATGGCCTTACATGTTTATTCTACCTGTCATAAATTTACCAGTAGGCACATCTTTCCATCAAGACCTTAAAGGTCTGGAGTTACCATCTTTATGACCAATGCTGGATTTAATCACTGTTCCAAAAGAATTCAAAGAGCAACCCCCTCCTTGCCAATAAATAACTAGCATCCATCTGTCTCTGAAACTTGCATACTAATATCATTTTTCATACTTAAAAATTATACACTGTTCCATCACAATGGACACACTTGAATTTGCATTGAAAATCCTCCCAATTTTAGTGTGGTGAATACTTGATCTTCTAAATTTGTTAAACAATGTTGATGCCTCTTATCAAAATTAGTCCTCATTTTTGTTTTTTGTTGGAAATGGAAGAGTCAGGGCTTTGCACTTCATTGCTGATTTTAGTGCTATTGAATGAGTTTGAAAGAGACGTATTTCTAATAGAGCAAATTGTTCAGTTTCCCTTTCTTATGTGGTGTGTTCCTACTCCATGATTTGTCCTGTTAATGCTGATGCTCATGTGCTTGACTTTGCAACTTAGTTTTTCTGCAAGCATTCTTTGAATTTTTTTCTGCTTGTCCTTTGGGTTCAAACAATGCTGCCATATCAGTTGCCTAATTATTTGCTTAGCTAACTCCGAGGGAAGCAATAGGTAACATTATAACAGGAGATGGGAGTCACATGTAGGCAACTAGAATTTTACCTTGCCTTATTGTCTTCCATAAGTAAACCAATTTATTTAATTCAAGCTCATAACTTGATGAAATTTGAATTAGTATCCTTTCACCAAATATTACAGTATCATAAGCACTACAGTTCCTACTGCCTGCTAAATACCCACCTACTTCTTGTTTTGAAAAAATGCATTCAATAATCCTTTTGGTGATTAAACCATTTGTTGAATTTCAAATGTTTCATTTGCAGTAAAATATTGTGATCTTTATTTTTACTTCTTGTATTAGAGTGCAATTAAACAAGGAAATCAGATTCAAGTGAATGTTTATGAAGTAAAGCAACTGAAGGAAAAAATGGAAAGCCAGTGTGCAAAACGAACCTTTGAAAATAATGAACAGAAAGAGTCTCAGAATAAGAAGGCTAAGAAAAAAGAAATGAAACATTATTCACAGTTGGCAAAATGCATTGGCCAAGGCATGAAGGCCACAGAAGAAGCTAAAGGAAAGGTAAAATGTTTTTATGCAGCACTAGAAATTTCAAAGTCGAAAAAGCAACTTAAATGTAAATACAGAACATGGCTAGCCTTTAATTTCATAATGCAATTGAATTGGAGTGCTTGGACAAAGGATCCCTTTAGAGCCATGCCTGTTTCTATTCCGCTTACTACTTCCATTCTACTTTCCTGACTTGGAAGCCTGCATCTAATCTTTTTTTTATTATTAGGTCTTTTAGTTTAAAACTTCCCCTGTCACTTGACTTGCCTTCTCAAGAGGCTCACCATTCCATGACAAGGAACAGATGACCTGCTTTCACAATTGTTGTGTTATCATTCGGCTAGCCAGACAGCGAAAATCGCCTGAAAGGGACTCACAAGAGAATTCTTCCTTGTTAAAGGTTCCATGACTTTGGCTTCCTGTTAAGTCACCTAACATACCATGTCAAACCACGGACTTTGAGCAGATTAAATTGTAGTAACAGACAATGTACTATATTACATCTTGTTGATGTATCACTTTTTTTTAATGTTCCACAAATCTGTCACAGTCTTGAACCAACTAGTAACAGATAAGTAACAAATATGTTTCTTTACCTTGTATTTGAAGTTTTCTTTGACCTATCTTAACACTGCAGCAAATCAAGGTACAACTGTCTATGCTGCTTTATTTTCTTCTAGTTTAGACAAATGTAGTAACTTTCTGTACTAATTGCTTTTCTTGTAGGTGATGTCAAAAGATGTAGATCAAAGCAAGGAAAATTGGCGACTGCCACCAGTTTGGTTCACACGGTACATGGAAACAGTAAGTATGGGTGTACCTGTTGTTCAGGGTGGGATTAAAAGGCATAAATTGAAAAGTCTTACTAACGGTGTGAAGAACAGGTTGGATAAAGGTGGGGCTGTAATATTGCAACACTGACTGACTGTGTCTGTGTGAAACTGTGGTGCTAAAAGTCTTGAACTTTCTGCCCTTCTAATTTTAAAGCATGATATTACAGCTGCATTGAAGGGAACGCATGTCTAGAGCTGTAGTCTGATGTTTCTAAACCATTGCAGTTTTTACAGTGGCTAACTAGTCTGAGGATGACACATGCTATCAAAGCCTTGAAAATATTAACATAGAAGAATAAAGCAGCACTACTGTGTAACCTTAATGCTGACCAACGTTAGTAACAGGACGCTCCTTGCTTCCTGTGATGGGAACACAATGAGTAGCACCAGTTGATGGTTAGTTTCCTTGTGCTTTTCAGTCCAGCTGCATGTACCTTTTGGTTTTAAGATGAAAATAGATGCTTCCTTCCATTGCAGTATAAGAGAGAACTTCCACTTGCATGCATTTTCATGACTTCAGTACATCATAAAGAAATTCACAGGAATCAAAGGGTAAACAAATAGCAGAGACTAAAGATTAAATAATCAAATCCATTTTGCTTGCACTGACAGTGGAGTAAATATTGGCCAAAACACCTGAAAATCTCTCAATTTCTTTGAATACTTGCATTTAACTTTTTAAATCTATCTAGGAGTATAGGAAAGGCCCCTCTTTTGGATCAGACATCAAACAGTTATAAACTGTTGAGCTAGAATACATGCTAAAAGTCTCTGGGGTGGTCCTTGAATCCATGGTCTTGACTTGTGTACTCAGCAGAGGGTGTCAGCCTCTACGTAGTGAAAACCTTGAGATGACCGTTCCTACTGGTATCTTTGTTATGTGTAAGTCAATTTCACTCCTATATGATCAATTAATCCCGTTGGATTTGAAAGCTTTACTTCAGTTGCTTGCCATAATAAGACTAAGTTTGCTCGGAACAAAAATGTCAACTCTATTTAGAAGAACTCCAATAATTTAACTCCGTTTTGCTCATTGTGTTCACTAAAGCAACCTGCTATTACACTGGACAGTTGTATGAATAACCAATGCAGGTAACCAAAAGCTAATTACTCAAAAGCTTTTGGAACCAGACAGTTTGGTAGTTTGTGAACCAGCACCATTTTGTGAATTTTCAGTGAATGATCTGTGTTCACCTAACCTGATATTTCTTTGCGATGGATTGTTGATTTACAATGTAATTGTACAGGCTAAAAGATGAAAGGGAAGTTGATTTTTTTTTTGAAGGTAGTCTAAGCTCGGTAAGCCCTGTACAGACTTGGCATCCAGCCAGACATCTTCCCAGTCTCGTATGATGCCTACTCGAAACAGATTACTCGGTTTGTCAAGGTTAATTACCAGGAAAACAGTGGTAGGGCATTGTGCTTATGTTATGTTGCTGGACTAGTTTAGGGAAGGCATGGGTAGTGAAATGTGGTTATGCTATTGAGTGAACTTTATTGCACAATGCCTCTACATTTGACAACCAGTAAGGACAGGATTGGCCACCTTGTGATGCCCTTGCGGTTGAAGTGATGACTGATATTTTCAGTCAAAGTTGAAATATTAAGAATGTCTCCTTAGCTGGGGTATAGGAGATTTACCAAAAAGTGTAGAACTGGACTGCAACATGATTCATTAAATAGGGTGTGGAATTAGAATTTAACTAAAATAGATATTTCCAGTATTGGAGCTCACAAAAACCAGAAGGATAGATATTTGTTGGTTCATAGAGACATTAAGGTCAGTTGTTCTGCTGTTGATCAATGCCCAAAGGGACATTAAGTTGATGCTGTCCAGACACACTTACATGGGTTCCAAATTGGCTGTTATTCCCTCTAATAGATATTTCATCCTAAATTTGCCTGGCCAGATTCAAGGCCACATCTTAGCAATGGACTTTAGAATTTGTCTGAGTGGTTTGTAACGTCTGAGGACCAGTTTAATGTCGAGCTGGTCTTCTGGAAATATACACAATATTCAAATTCCATTTATTTAATTCTACTTTTGGTTGTTCATGATGAACCTCTAAAACTATTTTAATTGTACTATAAGATATGAAAGTATAGCTCTCCTCATTCAGTTAACTGAAGTAAATGAACAGTTTTGTTGCTTTTTATATAATTGCATAGAACAAGAATATTCGTGTGAAACAAAACTAGTCGATATGCAATCTGAAAAACAAAGTGCTGCAGATACTCAGCAGATCAGGCAGGACATTGCTTCTTTTTAGTAAAACAAATTATATACTTGCCACTTTTCACAGACCTACTATTGACAGACTAAATACAAATCTGGTTACCCAAATCTAGAATTTTTTTGTTTGATCTTTATCATTTTAAGCAGGTTGTGCTGATGTAGGAAAGTTGGGGAAGAAAAGAAAAGTTCTCAAATCTAATGTGTAAGAAGTGAATTAATATCAGCAGTGACACAATCATTACCTAGAGTGATTTACAATCATATCATTTAGTTTTCCTGGATCCTCTATTCATTGTGTTAAGACATTCTTTCTAATTGGAATCAAAGCTTTCTGATTTTTTTTGCCCCCTCTGTAAAAGGCAAGGCCTTGGTCCTGAGGCTGCTGAATTTAAGTGTATGCCTATCGTATCACAAGATTTAAATGTTTTTGATCTGTACCGCAAAATGGATTGGGAACATGAAATGTCTTCAATTGCTCAATTTTACCTGAATCTTCCTTTTCTTTGCTGTTTTGTTCACAAGTAAACTGTTAAGTTTATCTCAACTGTGTTTAGTTATAAGCAGGTGGAGGGCATTGGGGTTTCACTTGATCACATTAGAAAGAGATACTGAGTACAACTGCGGTGTGATTGAAGTAGAAGGTGTATGCTTGTCATGTTTCAGTGTAAATATATGCAAGTGTTGAGAATCTTTCACCGGCTCACCTTTCCTAAACAGAACGTAAGCCAGTAGCAAATAAGAGAATGGGACAGAGTTTTGATCCACCATGCTACCTAAGTGGGCCCTTAGGTTGGAATCTATTTGCTTACCCATCATTTTATTCACAGAAAATCATTCATAAAGCAGCCACGAACTGCCAACTGTATGTAAGACCCCACCGGTAGCCATGGCTTACTGGGATAGAGCAATGTGTTACAGCTACCTTTTAATCTCTTGTAACTTTGCAATTTAGAGCTTTTGCTTATGTACATTCTAATTTCAGTTCAAAGATAAGCTTGTGAATGAAACAGTTGATCGGATCTGTTGCGACTTCTTCGAGAAGGTGACTATTCATCAGAAGGTGCATGACCCATTCGGTGCCTCGGCAGCATGTTCTGTTCAAGTTCCAGAGACCCCCTGCACAACACAGATTGGCTACCCCGATTGGCTTATGGCTTGTAGCAACTGCCTGAGTCGAATTATTGGAGTACGCTATCAGTGCAGGTAATGTAAAGTATAAAATATTTTGTGTGCCTGTTTTTTTTTTAAATTTTAATTTACCTCTGCTCAATATATTAGAATCGAAGTTTGCATTATCGCAAATGAATGCAAAATCAGGGGTATGTAAAATAGGTGACTGATATGCTGTCACCAGTTCTGAGCTGCCACCCAAGATGAATCTTACTTGCAAAGTATCTGGTTCTGCTGCCTCCTCCAGCTTTCTATGGATCAACGTTAATCTTTTGAATTTGAGGTCAAAAGTCATTCAGTTTGTTTTGTTAGTTCTTTCTGGAAATTTGACAGATCAGATTTTATATTCAAATGGATTACCCTCAATATTAAAATTCAGCAATGTAAACTGAGTTATATAGTTGAAATTTCTTTTATACCATTTGGCAGCTGGACTTTAAACTGTCTGAAACAGTGTGAGTAAATGTTTGAAGTTTAAGTGCCTTGTTTGTAAATTTGTTGTTCTGCTGTGCAGATAACTTTGCAACTAAATTATTACAGTTTTAGGGTACTTTTAAACCTGAAACAGCAGCATAATGTTCAGACAGCAGCATAATGTTCAGAGCTTCTCATGTACACTGACATTGCAATTATTTCGTAACAGTAGTTTTATCTCAAACATAGAAACAAAGCAGTGACACACAAGAACATCTGAGGAGAGAATCTTGCTGCATTTTTCTCAGAATCACTTGGCTTCAAACCTGATTTAAATATCAAGGGCTGAATTTTGTGGCATCTGCAAGAGGATGATAGGAGAGGACGTATCTGGAAAATGTTGAGGGAATATGGGGCCGAGTGCCAAGTAAGATACTTTTCGGCACTGCCATTTTATCACCAGTTGGTGGGCCTTCTGTCATGCTGGGCAGATGGTTTGTTCAATCTTGGCATGTTGCTGTCGGTTTGGGTTAGGGAAGCCTTTTAATTTGGTGGAAATATGCTTTCCTATGGCATCACTGGTCTTGCCCTTCCCAACCACACACCCCTTGCCAAGACCTGCCTGACTGGTCTTGGTGACCTTCAAGTGATCTCACTTCCTGCAACAACAGTGATCATTGCTGCATCTCTTGTTTGGCTGCAGTCCTACCAGCCATCACTGTCTTTTTGGACCTGCTGAGACTGAAGAGCTCCAGCCCTCCAATTAGAATAATGAGCTTGAAATGCTGCTCACAGCTGCAAGGTGGGCACACAATCCAACAGGGTTAATGCCAGATAGTGAAATTAGATTGTTTCTGGCTCATTTTTGAGGCCAGCAGTGCTCCTATGACAAAGTCTGTTCACAAGTTTCGTGTGATTTTTGGTCTTGCATTTTCGCTGAACTCGTGGAGTATGTTTCATAAGTAAGCTGATTTTGTCTATTGACAAAATATGGAACATGTATAGTGGTTATGTACTTATTTTGGGATCTTCTGAACACCACTCGAATTATATATAGATGAAATGCAAAGTGAAAGCTGTGTGCAGTTAGATCATGGTTATTGGCTTCTGACATGATTCTTGACCCAAATGATGCTTCACTGTTTCCATAAGTGGAAGACCAAAGGCATTTCTCACTCTTATCAACTATAACTTAATTGCCTTAACTTATACCTGAGAGAATGCAGAACTGTACTTTAGTTTCACAGAAATGTCCTGTACAAAGTATCTCTACTACATGTATATGAAAACCTTAGTGCAATTTTTTTTGTGTCTGTGCTGAACAGTCTATTGGTTTGTACTTGTTTGTAGTCCCCATTCGCAAATATGGAAGCTTAGTTTCTGTTTTTGGTTAGCATTCAGTTATGCTTGAGCCTTTTCTACTGTTACTAAGACTTCTTTATGGGAAGTATAAAGAGACCATAACATTGGAAGTAGATGTCATACACGTGTTTTCTATTGTGTACTTCCACACGTTATTTGTAAAATGGGTGTTATTAGGAGAGATTATTTTCACAAAATCAACAACTAAGAATGTAACCAGTTGGTCTTGCATGTTTTACTGAAATGGGTTCTCCTTATTCAGTGCAATACTTTGTTATTAGAAAATTGATCATTACATATGTTGAATATAAGTGCATAATTGTGAAATAATTAATGCAATTTAAATCTTATTTTCAAAGCATTTGCCCCACGTACACTATCTGTGAGTCCTGTGAAGCTAGTAGCTATAGACATGATCCTAACCACCCCTTACTGAAGCTGAGAAAACCTTCAATACCTTTGCCTGACCTTACACCAGCACAGTTTGTTGGAAGTGTTATATCTGGTGCAGCAGAACAAACAAGGTAATGTCAATACATTAGCATTCTAGAATTTGCTTTCACTATGATTCTGCCTGGTGTGAAGAAATACAAAGTGTAGGTTCTTTTTCATTTGAACAATGCAGATTCTATAGCAATAAGTTTGATGTGTTCAAATTTATGGAAGGATAGAATAAAGAGGTGGGAAGAATGTTTCCAACAGTTAAGCAATCTAGAAGGTTGGACCATGGATAACAAATTAAAAACAACTTTAGATCATGGAGCAAAAGGAATTAAAATAGAACTGAGTATGAAATTCACTTGCAAATGTAGTGTGTGAGGAAAAGACCAACAAGCTGTGAAGTTTCGATTGGATGAAGTTTAAGGAATGTAAAAATAAAGCCCCTGAATGTAATGCTGGTAGTTTATTTATGGAGTATAAATTCTGATGTGGCTTATTGAATGGCCATGTTTTTGAGTTGTAACTTTTAATCTGCTAACATTAGTTTGCTGTTGTTGAAGTAACAGTATTTCTGAGTTAATTTGTCCTTTGCTATATTTGTCATGTTGAAGTCCAGCGCTTTGCTCGTTGTGTCCAGGTGCTGTTCATGATGATTTTCTATTATTCATTATTGTATAATATGTATATAACATAAATTCTGAAAGAAGCGTCTAACAAGGTGATGTTTTTGTGGTGCGTTCCTATATTGACCTTTGAGCCAGATTGTAAACCTGAACCTTGAGCTTTGTTGGGGCAAAGTTTGTTCTTTAGGTGTCAGTTAGATCGGTAATACTTTTTGTCTTTGAGTCAGAAGGCTATGGGCCGACATCACGTTCTCGAACTTCAGCATGAAGGTTTTTGCTCCCCCGCTTCCCTGTAGAGAGAATTCTGCATTGTCAAAAGCACTGTGCTTTGTATGAGATGTTGAGTTATTGTGTTCTCTACACTCTTCAGTAGATCTGAAAGAACTCTTGGCATTATTTTGAAGTAATTTATCCCTTAATGATCATCTCCGAAACAGATTATCTGGTTACTGATTCTGAATTGTGCAATTTCAACTTTTCTTAGACTGCAGAGACAAATCGACAAAACCTTTTGGAAAGCTGAAAAGCAAAGACTACGAACTGAAAAGAGGCAACGCAAAGCAGAGTTTAAGGAGATTAAAAAACAGTTAAAATTGCAGAAGAAACATCTGCAATGGAATGGTGTGCATCTTGGTGAGCACTTGAATCCACCAACACGTGAACCTAAAAGAGTTCAGTGCATTTCAACAGTGTAAGTAGAGGAAGAGGATCATTTAACTTTTGAGAACCATTGCAGCATTTTCTGAAGCAAGTATGGAACTCATGCAACCCATTTTTTATTTTTACCCTTTTTTAATGTTTGAACAGTTGCAGTAACTTTGTATTTTCCATAAATTTGAACTATGTAGGATGCAGCATAATTTATTAACAATACGTAAGTGATAATATGTTTTTATACCCTGTTTATCTGACGTAGCAAATTGATAATTGCATATTTTCCATAATTTGATAAATTGTGAACAGACATTGAACACCAACTATTCCTGGTAAATAACCCATCAAATAACATTGACTGTATTACTTCCCAGGGCCAGAGGCATAAGTGAGTTGTGTTGGCTGCAGTCTGATTGATATATTTTTGTTGGTACTGGTCTCCCATTAGTGTGCACTTAAAGTTTTATGAGTGTTCAAACAGATTTGACAATTTTCGGGAATGCATATTGACTGAAATGAAGGCTATATATCTTCAAATGAGTTTGTGCATCAACACAAAATTGGCAACAGAAATAAAATACATTCACAGAAAAAATGGATTACCATCCATTTTCATACTGGATCATTCGCAGTTTATGTAGTCTGTCAAGTCTGTCTGGTAAACATTTTTATTTTTGGATAATTTGATTTAAAGTATTAATGTCAATATGGTCCATTTGAGTGCATGCAGTGTCTCCCAAGAGTAATTCAGTCAATCACATTCCCCAGTTATAAGTTGGGAGTCGCAAAATCTCATTTCTCTGATGTGCCTATCCAATTTCCTTTTGAAATCATTGCTTCTGAACCACGAGCATCAAGTTTCAGGTCATTACCACCCATGGTAAACATAGTTTCCCTCACTTTGCTCCTACATCTCTTGTCCAAAATATTGAATCTGCTTCCCCTGGGAAGGGGACATTCCCCATCAAGGGGGTGTTTTTTCTTTTCTAATCACCTTATTGCTACGCACGTGCATCAGATCTCCACTCAACCAAATGTTTTGAGGAAAACGACTCCATCTTCTTAACCCCAGAATTTTTCAGTAAATCTACATCGCGCCATTTCATGAATTTTCCTTTGGATATAACTGTTAAGTTGTTACCAAGTTGGTCCTGTTTTATTCTTTATTTGTTTTTAACTAGTATTTTTATCTCATTTTGCAGGCCAGTTATTTCAATATTAGGTGCAGAATTTGTGGATGAGAACTTTCCAGATGGTACCCTTCTTCAGCCAGGAATCAAATTTATCAAACACTGGAGAATGAAAAACACAGGCAATGCTAATTGGACATCTGCTACAAAAGTAAATTGCTTTTTTTTTAATGTTACAACTTAGAAAATATTTCTCCATGTATACTCTGATAGCCAACTGATAACTGTAATCAAACTTGTATTTTGAGGTTGTAAATGGATAACCTGACTTTCGAATTTGACAATTAACAACATTTTTAATAGCCTGTCATATTAATGCATTCTAAATGTTTTTTCGCATGCAGGATCATTATATATCGTTCCCATCTGCCCCTTTTTTCTTATGAAGTCATGTGCTGCCTGGTCTGTGCTGAATCAGTACAGGAAGGTGCAAAACAACTGGCCAGACGTAGTGATTTCCCAATGCCAGTGTTTCAGTTGGGTTGTGTCAAAATAATGATTTACCCTTGAAGTCATATAGATTCTGGTGGGACGGGGTGTATTGTTAAGTGTTTATTTCTTTCTTGCTCTGCTCTGACTAAGCTGGAAATTTAAAATTTATTTGTAATTTTGTTATTCCATGATGACTGTTTTGGTAATCAAATAAAAAGAATTTAAAAAGATGGGATCTAGAAATAAGTCAGTTCAGTTGGCTAGGAAATTACAGGAATGTGATCAGGCTCTTAGAATTAAATTGAAGACTACCTGTACTGAACAAAAACAAACCGAACAAAAAACCATTGCTCTGGGACCTAGCAATTAATTAAAAGTCAACTGGGAGAAACACATTGTTTGTGTTGAGTCGGGGATATTGTGATTTGTAGTGTGTTCACGACTTTGTTTTTAATCAACAAAAGAGAAAGTATTCTTGATGCTCGCGAATTAAAGAAGCAAGAAGGTGATCTAAATGTAATTGGGTTCAGTGAAAGAAAAGTTTTTTGAATAGGGCTGCTTCCCTGGAAAAGCAAATTATAGTGAGTCAAAAGAATAGTTTAGAAGGAAAATTGGGTAACTCTAGATCCAGAATAGAAAGCATTTCAGAGAATGGAAAGGGTATAATGCATTATTACAGGCAAAAATGAATGAAACATTTGTAGATTTGTGTAAATAAATTGAAAGATAAGATCTGTTTTTGATGATGAAACATACTGTAAAGGACAGACTTAGTGAGAGGCAAGATAAAGGCAAATCTATACAAGAACATTACAAAAGGCAAGTTAGAAATTATAAGGAGTAGGGAGGGAAGCTTTTTTCTTTGAAATGAAGGCAATAAGAAGCCTTGTCAAAGGGACTATATGGTCATGCAAATGTATGTTCAGTAAAAATGGAAGAGGTGGTTCCTGAGTTTGTTTTGCACAGATCGCTGTTTGTTCTTCATTTAGTGGAAGTTAGTGTTGAAATGAATGGCAGTAGTAAAGAAGTTCCTCAAACTTAGAAGTGGACAGATTCCCTGAACTGAATATCTTGCACCCAGATATGCACTTTCACGCTTATTGATCAAAATCAATGTTGCCGGCAGTTAAGTCAAAAGATCTTGACCGGTTGCCAAATAGTTTGTGAAAGGGCAGAACATAAGAACTAGGAATGTGAGTAGTAATTCAGCCCCTTGAGCGTGCTCCACCATTTAGTATGATGATGGCCAATGTTAAGATCACCCCAACTCGACCTTACTGCCCACTCTCCATAATCCTTGAACCCATTACCGATTTTAAAAATCTGTCTATCTCTTCCTTTAAATTTATTTGGTGTCCTGGCTTCTGCCATACTCTGGAGTAGTGAATTCCGCAGATTCATGTCCCTTTCAGAGAAGGAGTTTGTCCTCATTTCTGTTTTAAATCTGCTACCCCTTATCTTCAAACTGACCCGTCAATCTAGATTGTCCCAGAGGGGTAACATCTGCTCTAATCTACTTTGTCAATCCCCTGTAACATCTTTGTGTATGGAGTGAATTTTTTTTTTTCAAATAAAGCCAGATTTTGTTTGCTGTCATGCTTAAAACATTGAAATTCATTTCATTTATATTTGTCATGTTTTGACAGCTCCAGTTCATGTGGGGCAACCTCATCCTGGCTTCTCCTGCAAAAAAGGAAGTTTCTGTTCCATTCCTCCAACCAGGAGACATTGGTATTGTGTCAGTGGAATTTGTTGCACCCACCTTTGAAGGCACTTACACTTCTCATTGGCGCTTAACTCATAAAGGAGAACAGTTTGGGCCCAGAGTATGGTGCAGCATTATTATCGACTCGCCACTGCACACTGAAGCTCTGGATGGAAATGAAACCTCCCTTTTTAGCTCAGTCAAGACTAGATCTCCTGACAATAGAGTAAGTTAATTGAAAAAAAAAAATTTTTCTCAATGTAAATTGTTTCTTTGTGGTAAAATTTTGCATTATGTTCAAATGACCAAATTGCATAAAAGTGCCATTTGCCTTTTTTCACATATTGCAAAAGAAGTAAAACACACACATTTGCCAGGTCGTATTACTTAGTTATGACACATTCAAGTAAACGCAATAGCAAAATAATTTTGTTCGTACTTTCTCATTGCTGTGAAGAAGTGGTGGGTATCTTTGAATATGTTCTTGTAAATGAAATGTTTGAACTCAGTTTGACACCTGATTGCACTAAAATCAAATGAAGTGACAGCCTGCGAGTTTTTTTTGCCTGTTCCTTTTCGTCGTCCACCAGAGAGACGATTTGACTGTGTACAGTTTAGAGTGGATAAGTATCTTGCTGATAGCTCTGCAGTTTTTAGACACTGAACTCTCTCCACCATCTCACCTGCTATGTTTACTTTACTTGTCCAATTTTAAACAAGAAAAGAGAGTTAGCCCCATCATGGAGACGTGAATAGAACTTCTGTTGTCATTTTGACTGAGATCCGCTTACTAGGGGGAATTGAGGCTGAAATTTTTTTTCCGGCTCAGTTTACCCTGTAAAATTATTTGAGTAAATGAGAATGTAGTAATTGAATTTACCACAGAATAATATAATTGGAATTTTCTTCTCTTAGATCAAGGCTTCCTTAGCTGCAGGGACTGAACAGCAGCATGTTGTTCCTGATCCTGAAGTGGAATCTGGAGGCACAGCAACTACACAAGTAATCAACTATAAATGCATGTTTTAGAGAGATGAGAGTTCTGATATTTTGGGAGATATGTGCTCATCATTAGACATTTTAATCTTTTTCTTAAAAAGGAATGTTGCTTTCTTTTTCTCCTCCTGATTTTCTACTTCATTGTTAATGTTTAAGCAAGATTAAGTGCAATTCACTTGTTTAATGTTTAAGCTGCAAGCTGAAATATGGGTCTTCGACTTTGTCCCTTTTTTCTCAATAGATCGGTCAGGCATGTGAAGATATTTGGGGACCATTATTGTCTGTTGTGTCCCATCTCTTCCCCCATTTTTCTCCCACCCTTCTCTCTTCCCCTTCCAGCTCATGCAAATTAAATTGGAAAAAAGAACAGAAACTAAAATTGCTGGAAAAACTGGGCAGATTTGGCAGCATCTGTGGAGACAGACCAGAGTTAATGTTTCGAGTCCAGTGACCCATCTCCAGAACAGACGAGTGAACTAGTCTCCAGCAGTTGGAGGCTCATGCAAGTGACCATAGAGTTTGAATGTTAGGACCTTATTTACCATCCCAGAGAATGGCTATGCATGAGCCACATCAGCTGCTGTTAGATTCAATACTAAAACAATTTTAAAATTGGTTTTTGTCTTCATCCTTGCCAGTGCTAGGTAGCTTTTTTTCTGGTGCATCTTGTTGGGAAATTTGTCTGAAGCCAAGGAGCACCCCTCTGCTGGATGTTAGTCCTGCCCCATTATAGAAAACCCCACTCATGTAATCCAGATCATTGAGTGTCAACAGGTCATTACTGCTTGTAGACATCACAGCTTAGGCCAAAGCTGTTGATCTGCACGCTTTGCTATCCCAGTCTCTGCTGCAATCAAGACTGACTGATGAGGTAATTCTAGAAACCCTATCAGTTGATACTGCTCTGTTATTATTTAAATTTTGAGTTTACCAATTTGTTGCTAAAACCAGCACTGACCTACTTTTGTCGTTTAACTTAGTTCATTAGCTTTAGCCTTTGGACTCATTTTTGTTCCTTTTAACTCTCTCTAACTCTCCATCTTAGTATTTCTTCATCCTCATAATGCTTAAAAGTTTAACTGACTGCTGTTGTAGAGTGTCCACTCTTGCTTTTAATAGCTCCAAAGAATTAGCAAAAACTTAAATGTAAGAAAGGATAAAAAAAGCATCCTGTTAATGCTCATCAGTGAATAATTCTCGTGGTGATATCTAATTATATTTTGAGTGACATCACTCTCTATCGTGTAACCTGGCTGATAATTCTCACCATTTATCACCTTTTGAGTGAAGAAATTATCTATGTCAAGTTTAAATTACTTTTTACTAGTTTGAAATGCATATGCTTTGGTCCCTGATCCTTGAGTCTTGTTAAGATCATCTCATAACCTGGAGAACAAAGTCTGTTGTGTGTGTGTACAAGCACACACTAATGCCTCTCTACCTCCTAGTTTTGCAATTTATCTCTACTCAATAGTATGCTTTTTTTATTCTTCCACCAAAAGTGAACAAGTTCACAATATATTCCATTTGCGAAATTTTTGCCCACTCAATCAGCCTATCCAAATTTAATACATTTTACCTTCTCTTGACAAGTTCCTTCTACTTTGCTGTCCATGTTCACGTCATCAGCAATAATAGCTATTATGCACTTTGCCCCGCAACTATGTTGTTGATATAAATTAGGACAAGAACAAACAACAAGAACAAAGAAAATTGCAGTACAGGAACAGGCCCTTCGGCCCTCCAAGCCTGCACCAACATGCTGCCCTATTCCCATTCTATTCCAGTATTTGTCAAGATGCCCTTTAAAAGTCACTGTAGTATCTGCTTCCACTACCTCTCCCAGCAGTGAGTTCCAGGTTCCCACCACCCTCTGTGTAAAACAAAAAACTTGCCTAGTACATCACCTTTAAACCTTGCCGCTCGTGCCTTAAACCCATGGCCCCTGGTAACTGACTCTTCCACCCTGGGAAAAAGCTTCTGATTGTCCAGTCTGTCCATGCCATTCATAATCCTGTTGACCTTGATCAGGTCGCCCCTCAACCTCCGTCATTCCGGTGAGAACAACCCAAGTTCTCCAACCTCTTCTCATAGCCAAATTGTAAATAGTTGATGCCCAAATTTCAATAGTTGCAGCCTGCCAACCCAATAAAGACCCTTTTATCTCTATGCAGTTTTCTGTTTGCTGGTCAGTCCTTTATCCATGCTAATACGTTACCCCCTACTTTCTGTACTGTTGTGTAACAACTTTTTCAGTGGCACTTTATCAAATGTCTTTTGGCAATGCAAGTACCCTATATCGACAGGTTCCCCCTTTATCCACCTAGTGTGTTACTACTTCAAAGGAAACATTAATTAGTTAAATATGATTTCCCTTTCACAAAAACATGTTGACTGTGCTTGAATGCACAATGATTTTCTAAGGATCCAGCTTTGTCCTCTATTTTGGTGAATTGCTAGAAATCAATACTAATTCACAGATGTTTGGGTACTGGCCAAAGTTTATTTGCTTGCTTTCTCTGTCCCTCCTCCCTTAAATAAAGGTGTTACATTGGAAAACAGCCGATCTTTTTGGATCTTTCCAGAATCTAACTATCAAAGATTATAACCAATGCACCTAATATCTCTGTAGCCAATTCTTTTAAGACACTGGGATGCGGGCCATCTGGTTCTTGGGGGAGGGAGGAGAGGGGCGGGGGGGAGGTGTGGTTTGTCAGCCTTTAGGTCTAATAGTTTACCCAGCACTTTTTCCCTGGGGAGGATATGGAAACAAATTTAGAACATTTCACTTGATCAGTTCTAAGTTAATAGTGGTTTATCCAAGATGGATAAAAATTACAATTATCATCTTTCTAGAAGCAAGACTCCTTGACTATAGAAACTGAGAATCAAACAACTGTGCCTGATCTTGAAGCAACAGAGTCTGCAAAAACAACAGGTACAGCGTTGGTCAAGCTTCAGCAGCGAAAAGATCAGAGTAGAGACTTGTACACAATGATGCCGTCAGTAGACCTTCTGACTGCTCAGGTATTTGGCATATGCTGCAAATCTTGAACTATGCAGGATAAGTCTCTTTTTTTCCTGATTTGTTTGTAAAAATACATTTATTGACATGATTTGCATATTATAAACTAATGCAGCGGATAAAAGGGAGATTCTGCTCCAAAAATAGCACAACTTATTTTTACCCATATGATTGGAAAACTGGCTGAATTCTAATGTCGAGAGCACAATAGCTTTTGAGGATAACTGTGGCAAGGCATCATTGTACTCTCGTTTGCTTAAATGTTCCAGGACTTGCTTTCATTTGAACTGTTGGACATAAATATTGTGCAAGAAATGGAGCACGTACCAAACAACACCCCAGTTGGTAAGATTTTAAGTTACTTGAATAGTCTTGAGTGTTGATTCAGCCTTAATAAGCCTTGTTATTTAATTGCTATATTGCTAGAAAATCTGAGTAATTGAGTTCATTTTTTCCCCATTTTAGTCTTAAAATGTAAGTTAAAATTTCATTGTTAAAAGCATTAGTTAAGAGTGTAAGATCATCATTACAGCAGTGCCTTACAGAACAGCCTGTTACTGCTGTGTTAGCATAGGTATATGACCAGTTACTAATCTTTTGTCCATGGTTATTAAAAGCTCGGCTATGATCTCATACATCTTATTTCTGACTTGTATTGGGGTAGTAACTACCTCTTGATCATTGTACGTGACTTGAAACTTGATCAAATTGAGAAAACCTTTAACATTCTTGAGTGAGATTGCATCAGTGTAGTCTGTTGAAAACATTCTCTGTGGTGTAGCAGAGCAGGCAAGATATGGTCATCCTCTAAGTAAATTAATATTACACAATTTAAGTTCACTGATGCTGCCTGGTATGAAGAAATACATATTCAAATACATTGAAAGATGTAAAATTTGTTTTTGTTTTCCATTTAGATTATTCAGGTTATATGGAACACAAGTGATTAAAAATTGTGATTGAACCCAAAATATTTTGAAAATTTGACTACCGTTTGCACAATTTAAATTGGCAAATGGGTCAGCTGCTTTCTGCATTTTAAACCATATTCCTATCAATTATAAATGGGCATCAGTTTTATCATATTAGAATTTTTCAAACAAAGCTATGAAGTTTTTTTAGGCGTCCTAATTAGAATAATGAAGAGGTCTATAAGATTTGCTTAGTCACAGTAGAGACTGGAAGGTTCTGAAAATGTAAATTGTGCTTTTGTTTAAATGTCAAGATTTTGTTACTGCCTGTAATGTCCTTGCGTCTATTTTTACTTGCTGCATTTATGCTATATTTGATTATCATTTACAATTTGGAGGTCGTCCGTTCTTGTGGCAAAATCATTGACAATATGTATTGTGGCAATTAGCAGTATGGCTGGAGAAATGTTACTGCAGGATTGTGTGCAGTAAAGCACTGGATTATCACCAGTTTTTGCATATAATAAAGTTTCAGTTATTTTCTGTCTTTTAAGCTAAATTTAGATCGGTTCGCAAAATAATCAAAATTGAATAAAGTCAATGTATGCCTCTATTCTCTCTAATCTAACAGGTTAGAATAATTCTGCTTAATAATTATGGTTCTTACTGGTATTTTATAATGATAAACATAAGACATTTATTCATAAACTGACACTGGCAACAAATCAAAATGATCACACTGGTGTAGATTAACTAGTCAGTATGCCCAAGGACTATTTACTTTGTTGGAGGCCTAAATTTACTCTGGAGTAACAACATTAAAAAGTTTATCTGCTATGAGCAGTTCTGATCTCCCAAGTTGGGAGCCTTTTGGCTCATCGAGCCTGCTGTCCCCATTCAGCATGATCATGGCTGATTCCCTATCTCAATGCAATACTTTTTCTCTCCTCCCATACTGTTCAACATCTTTTAGCCTCTTGAAATCTACTTCTTTCTTAAATATATTCAGTGACTGAGCGTCAACTGTCTTCGATGGTAGAAAATTCCACAAGTTTCTCTTCCTCTCTGTCTGAAATAGACTACCACATAATCTGAGACTTTGACCCCTTGATCTGGACTCTGGCTCTGCCTTTCCCTCTATCACTCCCACCCCACCTCCAAATGTTGCCACATTGGCCAGGAGAAACATCATCCCTGCATCTAGTCTGTCTATTCCCATCAGAATTTTATTCAGTTCATTGCGAATCTCTCTCATTCTTCTAAACTCCAGTTAATACAGGCCAAATCAATCTCATATGGCAAACCTGTCCCCCCAGAATGCTTGCTTTCAGTGCCACCAAAGTTACTTGTCATGGAAGTGCAAAATCAGACTTACAAGATCAGGAATTCTGGTTACATCAATCAGAAAAACACTGAACAGGCTTTGGCCTGGTAAAGAAGCGAATTTGGGAGATCAGAACTGCTCACAGCAGTCCAAGTGCAGATAAACTTTTTAATTTTATTACTCCAGAGTAAATTTAGACCTCCAACAAAGTAAATAGTCCTTGGGCATACTGACTAGTTAACCTATACCAGTGTGATCATTTTGATTTGTTGCCAGTGTTCCATACAGAGAATTTTTAAAACTTTGAATGTATTTGATAGCAAAGCTTGAATAAAATGTTGCCCTTGTGGATAAATCAAAAGCAAGGACTTGTAAATATCAGTTAGTCATTAGTACATCAAAACATGAACTTCGGAGAAGTTTCTTTAACCTAGTCTGTTGTGGCTAGGATGTGAAACTTGCTACCATATGGTACAGTGAGGAATGTTGTAGAAATGCATTTTAAGCGGAAGCCCGTTTAGTTTCGTTGGCGAAGAGAAAGGAATGAACAGTTATTATCATAAGGCATAATCAAGTAGGCTGACAGGTAGTTCATCTTGGAGCATAAATATTGGCATAAATCAGCTGGGTCAAGTGACTTGTTATTAAACTGCTACATAAGTATGCAATGACCATTTTTAAGTTTTGTATATCACTTTGCTTATTCAGGTGTTGATCTATAGCCTGCTCGTTGTGCATTCCTTTTGAAAATTTTCTTAAATTTGTGATGAGTCTTTTTACATATTAATTTTAAATTGTTTTTGTTTCTAAGACATGACTCCATGTATGTCACCTTTGCCCCATGATGGCCCACTAGTGGAGAGGCCAGGCTTAGGTCAGATTGAAGAAGAAAGTGAAGCTATTTTCAAGTCACGGTTTGGTAAGACACTTTGTTTCATTAGATACTGTGGACTTAGAATTAACAACTTTGTTTCCAATAGTTATTCAAAACGTTTTGTAGTCTGGAAGAATCACCTTCTGCGTTGAATTCACCTTGCACCGGAGTCTCAGCCTTTTCTGATTTGAACTGTCTAGTTTTATTGCATCTGGTGGTGAAGTAGAATCCCAAGTGCCATGTCAAACTTTTACTAATTTTTCCACATTAAATTGGCAGAATTGGCAGAATTTACATTGGCAAACTTCAGAATTATTCCTCATTTTTGCCACAGTGGGGAGCATTGAACAGTCAAGGGGGTGACCAGCTTACCAACTACCTCTGAACCAGCCTGCCTGCTGTTCCTGTGCATTTTGACAAGGCCATTAATGATAGTGCCTATGGGATCTTCGCCTAACTGGGACTGAGCAGATTTCTGATTTCCAACAGTTCTGAGTGACAAAATCCTGAGGTGTTTCTTCTGCAGTGAGCTGTGGAGGAGCGTCAGTGATGTTCTCACCAAAACACATTCTAGATTGAGGATCCACCAAAGCGAAAATCTTTTGTGCAGGTGAACCCCTTGATGCTGCATCCTCTGAGCGTTCTGTAGCTTATTTCACACATGGAAGTTCCCTGGGCACCACTGGTGCTGGCACAAGAAAAGAATGAATTAGTTCTGTGAGAGGGATTGGAGCTTGTGATTAAGAATGAGTTAGCAGTGGAGTTAATGGGAGAGGAGTGTAGCACAGCACATTTGAAGCTTACTGAATTGGTTTTTGACATAGAGGTCATCCTCTCCTTAAATGAGCAGCCACAAAGTGGAGTACTAACATACCTTTTTGGGTCATTTCTTCAGTGGTAATAGTTGAGTACCACAGTGTGAAGGGCGATTGCTAGCTTGCAGCATCTGAATGGTGCCGGGGTTTAAATATGCCACTGGTGGTATGAATGTCAGCAAGTTCTGACAGTGGCGATCACTCCTGTCTCTGTTGCCATATGAATCCATGAGAATAATGTCAAAGAGTCGTTGGTGAGATGAAGAATGGAAGATTGTTTGAGAAAAGTTGTTCTGAGCCGTGGAGGACTGGATGCCGTCAGTATCACTTGGCAAAACACTGGCTGAAAATTAAAAAATTTTGCCTGGAACTTTTAGCTTCCTGGTTTGCTGTTTGTGTTTTAAAATATGTCTCTTGGTACAATGCATAACAGAAGTCTTTGAAATTATGGGTGGTTTGGCAGCTTTTTTTGTTATTGCTGCTTTGAAACAAAAAAAAATAGATTATTCAAGGAATTGAAACACAATTCTCTTTCAAAAATATCATTATATGTTGTGTATTTGAATTCTGTAATTCTGCTCGATTGTGGATCAGCGCCAGAAAAATGGCTGCGTTCTACGTTTTAAAAAGAATTATTAATGGCTTTCATGATAAGGCATTTATCTCTTACCTATTTACCTCTTCTCCGTATTCAGAAATTGATTCTTACTGCCTACAGGACAGCTAATCATGGGCAATAAATGCACTATTCAAATCCCAAAGACAGGTTGAAGATAAGCTTAATAGATGATACTGTAGTGGTCAATACTTGTATAGCTATCTTGGCTGTACATTTGGGTTATCACTTCAGTAGTTTGAAAAATACTATTTACAGTTATACAAAGGATACTTTCCTTTTGTTATTTGTTTTGAAGTATACGCTTTTAATAATAAATTGGAAGTTGTACTTCTGAATATTTTGCCTCACTAAGTCCTTCGATTTCTGTGTATCAAGATATCAATCTAGTTTTAAATTTGAAATGTAGGATTTGGTCATTTGCATCATTTTTGATGCTTGTCTTATTTCCTTACAGATGTGACACTGATGGAGAAGCCAACAGATCATCCCCATTTAGAAGAAGGCGAGGACGACATCAGCGGAACTCAGTTTGTCTGTGAGACAGTTATTCGTTCTCTAGCTTTAGATGAGGCACCTGATTTGCTGCCACGCCGCAGGGGTAAACCTGACAGTAAGTATTTGCAAGGGTTAAAAAAGACTAAACAATGTCGACTTGAGTGCTACATTAGCATTCGGAATTTGTGCAGAAACTCTGAACAGTTCTGGACTGTGGAGGCTTGAATGTAGAATTTATTAAATCCCCTTCATGGAAAAGTCCTCTTTTGATGTGTTTAGTGATGATAAATGGTTCAATTTGCTGTTAAGAGTTGTGTGTTTGACAGAACTGTTATTTCTCAAAAGGAGAACTGTTAAGTTTAAAAATTGCTTTTTGTTTAGTGTTCTATTCTAGATCATTCTCTTGTTTTCCAATTGAGTTGTTTGATTAACACTATTTATTTGCTTTGAAAACAAGATAGTTTCTCTAAAGTAAACATCTTAAAACAATTATTTTGGAGATCAGACTTTTTAAAATCTGATCCTTTGTATAGCCTAATACACTGAAGATCATGTAAGGTGTTTTTGTTGTGGTTATGCTACCTTTTTGGCACATTTACAGTAATTTTTACAATCCTACTAAATGAGTAATAAATTTTTACTTCCACAGTAACCTTTTGTTCATACAAAATTGTCTCAATTGTAATTAATCATTCATATAATTAGTGATGCATAGGGGCATTTAGAATATAAATGGAAGAATGTTGTTTTTTAGTAGTTGTAGAGGATGAATGTTATTCAGTTTTTAAGAATTACGAGAATTTTTTTTACAGTAAATTTTTCTGCTTTAGAGAAAAAGGGAGAAGTAAAATAGGAATGGAATGTGCTTGGGTAGGTATAGGAAGTTTTAGAATTTTACTTTCATTTTCAACAAATTGGACTGAGTAACATCACTTCTGATTCTGTTAACCGTTCTGATGATTAAGGCAAACTGAAAGGAAATAAAATGCATCTTGATCCTTTTTCAAATCTTTCCGTCTCTCCAACTATAAGCAGAGGTTATCCATAATTCTTTCAGCCAAGCTTCTTTTTTAGCAGGCACTGTCCAAGATCTGCAAGAAACCTGTCGCTCTGCTGGCATCAGAGAAGAGAAACCTGGCAGGACCATTGTGACCACAACTACTGCTACAAGTTCAACAGAAGAAGTGTTGCCAGAGAAAGGTAATAGAACTTGGGAACAAGAGTAGCCCATCTATCCCTAAGAACTTGTTATGCCTCCGTTCAACAGAGTCATGGCTGTCTGTCACTTAAAATTAATATTCACTTGTGGCATCTGGTTTCACAGGCTAGACCAGCACTTGCCCAAGTGGTGGTGAGCTGCATTCTTGAAATGCTGCAGTTTTGAGGATGTGGGCGCACTCACAGTGCTGATTGGAAGGGAGTTCCAGGAGTTTGACCCATGAGCAAGGGTTACAAGTCAGGATGTTGTGTGGCTTGGAGGGAAATTTTCAAGTTTTTTTTTGAATTGATCCTATGCATCTGTTGTCCTTCTGTTTCTAGGTGGTAGAGGTCAAAGTTTAAAAGGTGCTGTTGAAGGAACCTTGCTGGGTTAATGCATCTTGTAGATGGTGCACACTGCTATCAATGTGCTGGTGGTGAAGGAATTGAATACTGGGAGTGATGAATAGAGTGCAGATCAACTGCATTTCTTTATCTCAGATGGAGTTGAGCCTCTTGGGTGTTGAAGCCACACTGTCCTGACCAGTGGAGAGTATTCCTTCACGCTCCATGTAGACATTGGATAGACACTAGGGAGATGAGAGCCGGCTTACTCTTTACAGAACTGTTCTTTCTAAACTATTTTGGTGTTTATACAAGATGATGTACACATGCTTTTGCCCAGTCCCTTCACACCAAAAATATTAGTCTTAAATTTACAGTTATCAGTTGATCCAGCATGTTTTTGCTTTTCCCTTTACTGATAGTGCCTAGCACACAATTTCTCACATGTTGTACAATGCTTTTGTTTATTTTGAAATGATTTATAGAGACTTTCCCGGCTAAGAGTTTTTTTTTATTTTTTGGAAGTATCCTATTCAGTTCAAATACAAAACTCTGCAGAATGAAGCTAAGTATACATATCTTCGAATCTTCTGAGAACAACAGTAAGGTTATTTTAAAATTTTAAGTAAAATGTACTATTATTCGATTGTACTATTGTTGGAAGCCTAGAGGATTATTTTCTATTCCGAGTAACTCTTGTCTCTGTACTAGAAAGATATTGAAACTATATCACCATTCACCAAAATGCCAATTTTTCTTAGGCCGGCCTTCCTCATCTTCTCCATCACAAGTGGAGAGGACCTATATTCATCCAAGATTGAATCCAGTTTAATTTACAGAGCTATGTACTTCAGATCTTCTTGGAGCCATTGAATAACTAGGCAACTCTTGGAAAAATACATTCCTAGATCGCAGTTGAATTCTACAGCATTTAATGTCATCCTTATTCCTTTTAACATTTTTCCCAATCTCTCAAGACTATTTGCAATCATGGTGACCGAAACTAAAGGAAAACTCAATGCATTACCATTATCTTGTTGAGAATCAGTATCATGTCATTGAATTTCATACATGTCACTCTTGAGCTTCATTTAAACTGCAATTTAAATGAATGATAAGATTATTGATCCATTTTTTAACCAATAAACTGTTGTTTGCTTTTGATTTGCAGATAATAAGCTTGAAATTCATGTGGCTGGCAGTTCTACTGTAGACTTTGAAGAAGAGAAGTATGACATACAAAGCCAAGTGTCCTCAGAATGTTCAGAGGATTACGTTATCATCCTGCCAGAGTGTTTTGATACTAGTCGTCCTCTGCTAGAATCTAGATGCAGTTCTGCTTTTTCCCAACCTGAAGAAATGGAAGATGAGATAGAACTGGTATCAGATGCAGAGGTTACTGAGAGTGCCCACGCAGTCGATGAAAATAGACCTCCGTTGCAAAACATTAATGATATATTGTGCACATCTCAGACATTGGATATGGAGCCGCTTAAACCAGAGGTGCTGTCTGCACCTTTGCTTCATCAAAGGTAGTATTATTATCAGGTAATACATTGCAATAATGGTCTCGCGTATTATGTTTGAATAATGCTCATCCGTAAATTTACATTGATTACATTTTAAATATTTAAGTCGGAGCATTGCCTCTCCACAGCATATAACCTTATTTCTGCAAACCCAAGTTTTGAAATTCGGTAATGTCACGATACTCCATGATTTCAACTATTGCAAAGTGTTTTGTAGCAAACATTCAGAAGGCTTTATTGGCTGTCTCATGGGTTAAACAAAAAATCATGTATGAATCAAGTTTCCAAGAATCCAGTTTGTGACAAGTTAGCTAAATTATTCAACTATCCATTATGCTTCTCGTTTAAAAACCAAATACACTACTTGTGTTTTTTGTTCTTTTATTGATATTTATTCATTCTTTGTGGCAGTGCAGATCCTGGGACAGACAGAATCAGATCATGCTGTGTTTTCTCTGAATTCCAATGGCTTTCACCTTCCCTGTGAAGACTCTCACATGAGTAATATTCCCAACATACCCCATATGAAAAATCATACATGCCAGAGATTAGAAGAGGCAAATAATGTGGCTGTCAATGGGAGCATACATTCATTTATTTAAATGTGGTGCTTTCATTAAAATATTTAAAAGTTCTTAAAAACCCTAGTCTTCTATACATCCTTTTGGTAATGTTAGAATGAAGGTGTTTGACCTGAGTTTATAATTTAAATTGGTAATAAATTATATTCACATGGGCAACAAATTTTAATTTGTTTTCCTGGTTTATTGTTGAAGGAATGATACCTCGACTCTAAATTCAAACGAAGTTCAGTCTGATGTATTGGAAGTGGCTGATGTGGAGAATGCTGCAGTTAGATCACCTGTCCATCATGAAAACAATGGTAATATGGAATATCATAGTTGCAAACGTTATTTTTCCAGTTGCTGTTTGCTGTAGCTTCCCATCTTCATGATTATTCATCACTGGTTCTTTCAGTTTTTCTTGACTCCAGCTTTCAATTGCAGATTAGTTGCTGTGTTGCAGGGAAGTATTTTAGCTGGTGCTGCAAATTTTAAACACCGTTATTATTTTGAATGATAAGTTAAAACAGGCATCATGGAAACTTTGAATTAAAAACAGAAGAGTTAATTTCATGACATTGTGAAACCAGGTACGAAGTGGATGGGGCCAGCTTAATAAGACAAGCCTGTTTGGCTGGTATTAGTACACTTTTTTAGTTCTAATTTATGTTTACTGTAATTTGGATTTGGGGGCTCTAAAACAGCTTGAACATTTGAGGGCTGATTAAGCACTACTTCAGTTGGGCAGTATATATGGGCTTGAAAACCGCCACTTCAAATGAAGGCCTAAAATGTGCTGGCTGATGGCCAGTTCCGGGGTGGCAAAGGAACCAATTCAGAGAGAGCCCAGGTTTTTGGCTGCAACATCAGAGATTCAAGTGGACAGGGTCCAAAGGTGGAGAAATGTCCTGTTTTCAGTGGGGAAGGAAATCCTCACCCTTCTGTCCCCCTCTCTTGCAGCAACTGCTTCTGCTCGTCCTAGTTTAATTTCTTTTTCATCCTGCAAACTAAAGGGAACCTCAATAAGTGACCAATGACCAAGCAGTCTTTTTTTTCCTCTTTGTGATTAAGTGCGTCAGTCGTGCAAAGTAACTCAGCGCTTACTATTTTTAGGTGAAGCCCTCAAAGACGTTTTCAAATAACTTTTGCAAGAATGTTGATAAAGTCTCGACAAAGTGCCCCAGGAAGTTGACTGTGTTCAAAAGTCCTCTTCAAACCTTCATTAGCAAGTGAACTGTGGAAGGGGTTATAGCTTTAAGTACTTTACAAAATATTTTGCAACAATAGATTAAAAATCATTTGGTTAATGTTGGGAGAGGCTCTTTGGTCATCCAGTATTCATTGAAATGCAACTCGGCCATTTTAATGAATGCTGCATAATGATTACCTGGGCAGCCGTTCCTAGCGTAAGCTTTCATCCTTTTGCTGAGATGAGCTAAACCTGGGTGTTTTGACTTTCGACACCAATTTGGCTAACTTAGATTGCATTAGGAGCTAAAGGAGCTGTTGAAAGTTGAATGCATTTGAAAAATGACAGGTATGAATGAACTGCCTCAATCTGGTTTTAACTGGTGTATAGTTCAGTTTTCATTTCTCCCGTTTATTGTACTATGTTTAAATGTTATATTGGCCAGATACTTGGTTCATTTGTACAATTATGATACAGCCTTTTGATTATTGTTAATAATAAATATGATTAGTTAAAGCCAAAACACATGAACTTTTGTGAACTTATGACCATATGTGAACTTTTCTAGCAATGGCAAGGAGGTTTTGTTTTAATGATGTAGACACCAAGTGGTATTTTGCCTTTACATCATCTTAGAGACTAATTACTATACCATTTGTTTTCAGTATCTACACATTTGGAGATAAAGTTTGCAGAACCACCCAAGACCATGAAAAATAGACAGTGCCCGCATTTAAGGTGAAAGCACAGTTTACACAGATTTGCTATTAAAAATATGCTTTTGCAATACAACATCTACTTGTTTTTGGTGGAACTAAAAACGTTCAAGATGGAAGTATGCATGGGAACCAACAAGTTAAGAACAGGAGTAAGGCTTTGGCCCCTTGACCCTATTCCATTATTTAATAAGATTGCGGCTAATCTGATTGCAGCCTCAATTCCAGATTCCTGTTCACCCAATAACCTTTAAATCCCTTGTTGTCCAATAATTTACCCACCTCTGCCTTAAAAGTATTCAAAGATTCTGCTTCCATTACCTTTTTGAGGAAGAGAGATAAGAAGATTCACAACCCTTTAAGAGAAAGTAATTAACCTCAAGGGTACAGTTCTGGTCACCCTGTTGAGAGCGAGGATATTGTTAAATTGGGGAGCATTCAGAAAAGATTTACCAGGATGTTGCTGGGACTGGAGGATTTGAGTTATAAGGATAGATTGGGACTTAGGTGTGTAGGAGTTTGAGGGGTGACCTTTATAGAAGTTTGTAAAATCATGAGTGTTTTAGATAAAGTGAATAGCAAAGGTGTTTTAAAACCAGGAGGCATTTTTTTTAAGGTGAGAGGAGAAAGCTTTAAAATGGACCTGAGGGGCAACTTTTTCCACACAGAGGTTGGTGAGTGTCTGGAACAAGCTGCCAGAGAAAGTGGCAGTCAGGTAAATTACAACAATGAAAAGTCATTTGGACAAGTACATGAATAGGAAAGGTTTGGAGGGATTTGGTCCAAATGCAGGCAAATGGGACTAGTTTAGTTTGGGAAACTTGGTCGGCATGGATGAGTTGAACCAAAGGGTTTCTATGCTTTACGACTCTGACTCATCTCTGTTTTAATGGAGACCCCCCTTATTTTTAAACAATGACCCCTAGTTCGAGAATCTCTCATGAGTAGAAACATCCTTTCCTGTTCACCATGTCACGCCCCCGCTGGATCTCGTATGTTTCAACCAAGTCAAATCTTACTCTTCTAAACTCCAACAGATACGAGCCGAGCCTGTCCAACCTTTACTCAAATGATAACCTACCCTTTGAGTGTTAATTTAGCAAACCTTCTTTGAACTGCTCCCTTAAATAGTGTGACTAACAATGTACACAGTGCACCAGACATGGTTTGATCAGTGTCCTGTGTAACTGATGTATGACCTCCTTACTTTTGAATTCGATTTCCTTTGCAATGCATGACAACGTTCTATTAGCAAGTACGAAGGTAAGCTGAACCCTATGTACTAGTGTTTCATGATTCATGCATGAGGACACTCTGACTCTCTGAGCTCTATAATCGCTCTCCATTTAAAGTGCTTTTTATATTTTTCCTGCCAAAATGGACCGTTTCGTATTTTCTTATAATATACTATAATTGCCAGATCATTGTCCACTCACTTAACTTGGGTATATCTCCTATTCCTTGTCTCTTCTTTGCAGCTTACATTTTTGCTTTCTTCATAGCAACCATACCATCTGTCCCTTCATCCAAGTCGTTAATATGAATTGTCAAAAATCGATGCATTGACCCCTGTGACACACTGTTTGTTGCATTTTTCCAACCAGAGAGAGACCCATTTGTGTCTGCTCTCTTCCTGTTAGCAATCCAATTTTCTGTTCACATCAAAATGTTACGCCAACATCATGACACTTTGTTTTCCACAACAATCTTCTGATCCGGCCCCTTATCAAGTTCTGGAAATCTAACTATATTCACTGATTCCACTTCACCCACAGGGTATCTTACTATTTCAAAAATACTAATAAATTTTGTCATTTTTAGTGGTAACTTCTATACCTGACAGGCCATTTGCAGACTACCCAAAATATTAAGAAAGATTAGCCATGGCTCACTTGATTCCCACCTATTGAATAGAAGGCCAAGAGCAAATTGGCTTGAACATATAATTTAGGATGACACATCACTCCATACTGAGGTGTCATTTTTTTCATATAAAACATTCATGTGACACTCCATCTATTTCCTTACATGAACATTAAAATTCCCAAACTGTTACATAAGAACAGGTGAGTTCACAAACCAAAACAACTTAAATCGATTATCTGCTTATTTATATCATTGCATGTTGAAATTAGCTGCTGTGTTGTCATACATCACATCAATTGCAACTTTGAGAAGTTATGAAATATTATGACCATGATACCTTTTGAGACATTTTGAAGGTGCGAGACTCACGATATTGTGGACCCATCTCTGTCACAGAAAGCAGTTGAGGCCAAAATATTGACTGTTTTTGAGAAGGAGTTCGATATAGTTCTTAGGGCTAAAGAGATCAAAGGGTTTGAGGACAATTTGGAAACAGAATATTGATTCAATGATAAGCAATGACCTTGTTGAACAGTGAAGCAGGCTCAACAGTGTTCAATGTACTATTCCTAATCCTAATTTTCACACAAAAATGAATATTTCTGTACATAAGCACATTTGTCAAAGCTTTCATTTTGTGATTATCAAGACCGGTCTCAAAAAACAAGTAGAGAAACCCAATGCAGAGTGCTGATTGGTCAAGGTTATCACCATGGAGAGTACAATACTCATTGATGACTGACAATTAACTGTCAGTCATCAGTGAAATTTTAAACCAGGAATTGCCCGAGCAATCAGCCAGACAATGGCTGTAATTTATTTAGTGTGTCATAGTGTAGCACATGTATGGTTCTTTCTATCTGCAAAGAACAAAGCCTTAATTATTTGTAGCTTCCAGTATATGCAGATGAACCACACTGTGAACTTGACTGAAGATCCTAAATTGATTGTCAGTGAAATTCCTCACACGTTCAGGATTATTTAGTAAATGTTGTCCAATTGTGGAAGCAAGTCTGATGTTAGATGCTGCACAAGTTTTGCAAGTACAGGTTGGACTGGTCATTCCCTTGCATAATCTGCCAGTCTTTTAAATGAATGGACTTTTATTTTCCTTTATTCATTCACTGGATGAGAGTGTCACCAGGCAGCATTTATTGCCCATCCCTAATTACCCAAAGGGCAGGTAAGAGTCAGCCACATGGCTGTGGGTATGGAGTCACATGTAGACCAGACCAGGTAAGAGTGGCAGTTTCCTTCCCTAAAGGACGTTAGTGAACCAGATGGATTTTTCCAACAATCTGCAATGGATTCGTGGTCATCATTAGATTCTTAATTCCAGGTATTTATTGAAATCAAATTCCATCATCTGTCGTGGCGGGATTTGAACCCTGGTCCCCAGAATATTATCTGGGTCTCTGGATTAACAGTCCAGCGATAATACCACTAGGCCGTCGCCACCCCTAAGGGACCATACACCAGTATGGTCACACCAGCACTGAAATTCCACATTAATAGACCACGTTAACGATTTGTGTGATAGGGAGGATATTTTCTCGTGACATCCTTTTGGGAATAACACCACCTCATGTTGCTGCAGCTTGGTAGCAGTGTGAAACATTTAGCTTCATCTGCTGAAACGTTTGAGATACCGTACCTTACCTTTCCATGGTAATCTGAGGTAGACTAGGCATGTTTTTGTCAGGATCAAAAATGACAGCTTCAGGCTTCTTCAGCAAGAAATAATCTGATCAGGATAACCGTTATTCTGCAGGATTGCTTTGATGTGCTCTGGTTCAGCATCAAACTTGCAGTAGATAGTAGTAGAACATCCCCTGGCTAGTTTGTCAACTAGAACATCAAGGAAAAGGGCTGATTTGACTGCAGTGTTTCACTTGTCAATTTGAACATAGAATACAGCCTATTAAGGTGTGTAAGGAAACTCTTAGGGACAGCTGCAAATTCAAATGTACTAAACATATCGTATTGGAAGTACCCAAGGGATAGGGGTTAGGTGTCATTCCATCATAGGCAAGTTTCTCAGGATCCTGACAAATATTATTGAAAGAACTGGGCCCCATCGCTGATCCCACGGCAGCATCGTACTTGTCCTTGCCTGTGACCGTTTCTGTACAACAGGAACGTTCAAATGGTTGAATGACATTTTGAGCAAGTCTTCCACAAGAACCGAAGGATTCCTTCATGTTTGCAAAGACTATTTGGTAACAATGCTCATTTGTCATTGTCAGCCATTTGCCAATATGGCATTTGAGGAAGCCATAGACAATTGCATTGTAGCATTATATCATGGCAATCTAGAACCAGACCTATTGTGTGAATTTGTATCAGTGTATGTATGAGGTCAGCAAATTGTGCAGTTGGATTCAGTTTCAAGGACATGATGAACGTCCAAACAAATGTTGCCTCGGGATTCCTGCTAGGCTCAACTCTTGCAAACTTTTTTGCCATGAGAAATGTGTCTTCAAAGGAGTGACGTCCAATTTCCTACTCCTTGTGTATTTCTCAATGTTGATGATATGTTTGTTGTAATATAAACGAAGTACTGGAGAAACTCGGCAGGTCTGACTGCATCTGTGAAGAGAGAAAGAGTAAACGGTTTGAATCCGATATGAGTCTTTAGAACTGAGCAGAGTTCTGCTGGATACGGCTCTGAATAACACCCATATGGGACCTGAAAAGTTAATATTCTCTGTCCACGGATGCTGCCAGACTTGCTGAGTTTCTCTTGCTCTTTCTTTTTATCTCACAATTTCTAACATTGGCAGTAGTTTGCTTTTATTTGAAATGTTTGATAAATTCGAATCCTCAGCTACTTGTAAGAATTTACTTGAGTCTCAATGAGTTTCATCTGCTGAAATGCTTTTTTTGAAATTGATCTGTGAAATCCAGTTCCTTTTGATATCCTAGTTAAGAAATTGGCCAGGAGGTTTATACTGCTGTCTACTGTAAGCCTACCTCACTGGTCAATATATACACATTGGGATTCCTGTAGTTGCACGCATTGTTTGCTTTGTGGCTCTTTTGGTCCTAAAATGTGAAATTAACATGTACTGGAAGTTACATGTATTAATACACAAGGCTTTGTTGTTTGCATAGAAAAAGAATTGTATATATGCTGCACCTATTGACTGTCACCTGTTTTTTCGCTTTCTCTGGTTAAATTCCTGGGGGATATATTCCCGCGATAGGGTTATTCTTCATGGTAATGCCACTATCAGTCAGAGTATACTTATCATTCTCCTCTCACAGAGTATAAATGTTTTTTTTTTTCCCCTCTACATTAATATTTTTTGCAAATTGTCCTGACGGTTATTAGAGGAAAATCATTGACAAAATGTATCCAATGTTAAGAGCACTCAAATTCTGTAGTACCACCCATCTACTTACTTAAAAACAGATTGTTTCTATGTTGGATTGGCTGGCTGATGGCAAACCAAGTATGCATAAAAACTTACTTTTCTAATATCAGGATGTGACAAATGGGATCCCATCGAACCTGAGCTGGTCTCCCAACACTTTCACAATTTATATTAATAACTTGGATGAAGGGATTGAAGGCAAGGTGGCTAAATTTGTAGATGGTACGAAGATAGGTAGGAAAGTGCGTTGTCAAATGACATAAGGATGCAGACCAGTATACCATTGGTAAAGTGCATTGGCAAAAGCCTGGCATTTGGAGTACAATGAGGGAAAATGTGAAGTTATTCACTTTGGCAAGAAAGAATTAAAAACAGAGCAATACGTAAATGGAGAATGACTGCAAGGCCCAATGAGACTAGGCATTCTAATGCATGAGTCACAAAATATTCGTATACAAGTATAGCATATGGTCAAAGGCTAATTGGATGCTAGCCTTTATTCCAAGCTGAATTGAGTATAGAAGTAAGTTATTATTCATTTGTTCAAGGCACCGGTGAGACCACATCTCAAATACTGTATAATTTTGTTGACCTTCCTTTATGGAAGAGGTAAATGTATTTGAGGTGGTTCAGAGCATATTTACTAGATTGATATCTGGAAAGAGTGGGTTCTCTTATGAGGAAAGATTAGAAAGCTGGGCTTGTTTTCACTGTAGTCCAAAAGAGCAAGGATGATTTAATTGAAGTTTATAAGATCCTGAATGGTTCTACAAAATGGACATGGAAGGGATGTTCACTCTTATGGGTGAGTTCAAACCTAGGGAACACTGTTTTTAAATTGTTGGACGGATTTTAGAGTAATATTTTCTTTGAGCGGATTCTACACCTTTGTAACTCTGCCTCAGAAAGTGGTGGAAGTGGGGTCATTGAATATTTTGAAAGCAGAGCAAGATGGATTCTTATTGGGCACAAGAATTGAAGGTTATCAGAAGTCGATGAGAATATGGAATTTGGAACATAAACAGATCAGCTGTGATCTTATTGACTGGCAGAGCAGGGTTGAAGGGCCAAATGGCCTAATCATATCCCGATTTGTATGTATGAATGTATTCTTATTTTGTCTTCTATTTGTACTTAAGTATTTTTTTCAAACCTTTGTTGTGGGCAAATCACCAAGTTTTCTTTAATTTGACTAATTAAGAAATCTCTCAGAAAATCAAGTACTGAAACAATTATTTAAACTTTATTGCATATAGCAACCAAAATAAGACCCCTCAAATAAGCAAGTCAAGCCTTCTGCCTCAACTTGGCTATTACCCGATTAATGATGGAGGTTAGCTGCAGTTCCAACCAAAAATGTCTGTCTCTGGAACTATGCAGTGTTCAATGCTTGTGCATTGTTGTTCTTCGAAGATCTGCTAATGAAGGGTTCTGGTGTTGGATTCTTATACAGATTTTTGTCCTTCAGATCTGTGATTTGATATTATTGATGATTCTTTAGACTCTTTCTTCCAAAATATTGCAGATCTGCAGCTTGCCTTCTTATCAGGAGTAGCTTCCTGTTCCTTGTTACATTTTGTCATTGACTGACTGTTTGAAGACACAGGTTTCCTGTGATTAACTCCTTAAATTTTTCTGCAGGGCAATCGGTTATCCTTGTGGCATAAAGCAGCCAGTTATCAAGTGATGTCAAAACAGTTCTGTTCATGTAGTTTCAACTCCTTCTTTTCCCAGACATGACTAATTGCTTTCAATTCCTGTCCTGTAATAGTTTATTCCAGACACCATTATTGATGCTTCTTTCAGTGTGTAACTGTTTATTTTTGATTCTTTCAATATATGAACAGTTTATTAAAGTTCTGAAGTTTATAATATCACACCTTGCTCCATTGTCATAAGAAATCTGGAGCAGTAATGCCTGGTTACTTCCAGGAAGCCCTTGTTTTGATTGGGGAAGGACAGGATAGGGTTCTGTGTTGATGCTCCTAGTGTTGAATACGTTTTCTAGCCTTGAGTGTCTGGCCTCTGATGTGAAATTGCCAGTTGGGAAACAGCAGTAGGAAGTGACGAAAACCTGTGGGACTGAATGTCCACTAGGGATCTGTTCATGCAAGAGGAATAAAATCTCTGGGGAGCGAGGTTTGTTTTTGTTCTTCAATGTAATTTTTTTGAATACCCCAACTTAAACTTCGTTAGCAGATCTAATCAGAAGTCTTTATGATTTGAAGTCGCCCTTACATGTGTTATAAAGGAGAAGTTGAACCCCTCTGATAATTCCAATCAAAACACAGGCCTCCAATCTGTTACGGCAGCACTAGAGGTTCCCTTCTAATAATTACCTCCGAAACACCCAAGAAGCTCACCTTTCTCCTCGTAATCTGTTAAGAGTGGTTAAAAGAAAGAAAACCCCTGATCTACTTTGTAAATAACAAGAAACAATTTATGTATTTAACCCTAACAATGAACAAATTAACAGAATTACTAACAAACCAAACTATTCCCCGCAGACTACTAACTAATCCCTAACTGGCCTAAATACTACCGGAATGCTGTTCAAATAAACACAAGTCCCAAATACATAAATGCAATTAATAAGACAACAATAAATTAAAACTTAATCTCTCCATGCTTTCACAGACTGTCTTCTGGAACACTGCCTTCTCTGTTACTCCACAAACGGCTTTCTTCTGCTGTCTAAAATGTTTTTGTCTGTAATTGTTTCTGTGTGGACTTTTAGCTCGAGAGAGAGAGAGAGAGAGAAAGAGCTGAGGGTTTTTAATCTGGGCAAATGGTGGTTAGCTCTGTGGTCTGTCCAACTGCCCTCTCCTTTATACCCGTGACGACATAACAATATTTCTTGCGTAGGATTGGTTCGATGTTATCAACACCATCAGGTTTAAATTTGATAGGTTTTTAGTATCTAAGGGCTTGGTTTAAATTGATTGGCTAAATTTGAGAGCTGTTGTCTTGATTAAAAATGCTGTTTGGCCTTTCAATATAAATATTTCAATTTTGGGTACTTTCTGTTCTGGCAACCTCCAGCTGCTGCTCACAGACATATATTTTAGAAATTCCGAATCACAGAAAAAACGCCACCTCTTAAAGGAACCACGTACTCTTTCTCCCTTATTATTTTTACAAACACATTCTAGCTTCCTGCCGTCCAACTCATGACTATTCTATATAATTTCGTAACATGTCTTTGATTTTTCCTTGTAGACACCACAGTGGAATTGCTAGTGAGCTGGTGAAGGGAGCCCTATCTGTAGCAGCCTCTGCTTATAAGGCTCTTTTTTCGGGGGATACCAGTGTGACTCAGGTACTTTTTAAAATACTCTTTAAATAAAACCATTAGGAGACTGTTACCCATGGGTTCACAAGATAGTTTTTAGTGCCTTAAAGTTTAATGTGATCTGTGTATTCTTAATCACGTTACACTAGTAACAGAAAATTATGATCATCCATTTCTATTTTGAGGCCTGTACTGTATGTAGATGTTTGAAAGGCATTCTCCGCTTCATATTATGTATGATATAGTTATAGTTACTTGAAACTGATTACACTACCAGTGACAGTAACCCAGATGAATAGGATTAGCAGAAACCAGACAGCTGCTCATATACATATCTTAGCCAGGTAGGAGGAACACTGATAAAAAGAGAGAGGTGAAAATATTTCGCTAAAGCTCCCATTTATAGTTTATCATGACTTGCATGGTTTAGGTTAAATCGAGTATTTAGACAAATTATGTCACATTGGTCACTGTTAGTTTCTGGATATTAGTCCAAAAACCAAATGCTGTCATGGTAAATTCTGTATCTGTCTTCACAATTTACATTTATTGTGACTGGCAAGGGCTTTTTTAAATTTCATTAGGGAATGTGGGTATCACTGGCTTGGCTAACGTTTGTTGCCCATCCCTCATTTGCCAGGAGCAGGTGACAGTGAACTGTCTCGTTGACCCACTGCAGTTCAATGGGCTAGGGAGACCCACAGTGCTGTTAGAATGCGAGTTCCAGGATTTTGACCCAGTAACAGTGAAGGAATGGTGATATAATTCCAAGTCTGCTATGTTACATCCTATTACTCCCTTTCTCCACCAATTTTACTTCCAAATGGTAGAAAGGTAACTGTCTCCAAAGAAGATCATAAACTTGCTGAATAAAATTGTCAGTGTCTGATTGAATTTAACTCTGTTCCATTGAATAGGTTGGTGCTAAATGTTCAGGCCTGAGCTGCAGATAACCATGAATTTTTGGGATTAACTAGCCCTGAAGATAGCTGATTTTTAAAATCCGATGATAGAATCTTTGTTTATACATGAAGTTCAAATTCTGTCAAGGTGATTAAACTTTTACACAACACCAGATTGAAAAAAGTGATAAATGATGATTTGAACATTGTGTGCAAATCAAAAAGATTTGCTACATCAGTTAATAGTTCAATTTCATATGAAAAATTGTAACATTGATTTTCAGCAAAAAGAAATGGCGATGTTGATAGATAATTGGACAGATGACGCAGGTAGATGATTATTTTCTCAACAGGTAGTAGATATTTTGCCAAAACAATTGATATTGTGGTCACAGGCAGTTGGAAAAGTGAATAGATCAGAATATTGTGCTGCTGGATCTTTGGTCAAGCTTTCAGTCTTGTGCCCTATCTTCATCCATAGATCAGTGTCATTGTTATTTCACAACATTCTGTGAAGCGTCCTTGGAAATTTTAAATATTAAAGACACAGTAGAAATTGTAGATGTTGTATCAAGTTTTTGAAGGAAATGGAAAAGAGAGCTGCTAACTTAATTCCAAAGTAGTTTTGAGTAAAGGCTAATGAGGGAATATTCTGTTGCAGAATATTGGAAAAGACAAAGGACCAGTTGAGGACAAGGGGATGCTTAATCTGAAAAGGCATTGCTGTAATAAATTTTAAAAATGCCTGGTGCAGATTAGATGCAAAGAAAGTTGGCACACCCAACAACAGTAACATAAAAATACTGTGGCTACAAGAGCATGTCAGAGGTTCAGAATTCTTCAGCGAGCAACTCGCCTCAAAGCCTGTCCATCCTCTGCAAAGAAGTAGTGTGATGGAATCCACTTGCTATGACTGCTGCTAGAATGACACTTAAGCTTGACACCGCCCAGGACAGAGCAGCCCACTTGATTTGAAACCACATCACAAACGTTCAGTCACTCTACCACGTGTACTTTGAATTAGATTCTCTTGTCACATGTACTGAAGTATAGGGATACAGGAATACAGTGAAAAGTGTAAAAAAGTTGCCATTTCCGGCACCACCTTGGGTACAAAGGTGCTAAGGTACAAAATCTTAGGTATAAATTAGAAAAATAAAGAAACCAAGTTCAGCGTTACAGTCCTTCTAAAACAGGGAAAGAGTGGGGTAAAAAAACAGAGCACACGAGTCCACACTGGACCTCAACTCGGGTCCTTGCTGGGCTTCACCTTGAGGCTGGGAGTCCACATTGGGCTTCCCCTCGAGGCCAGGAGTCCCTTGAGTCCATGCTGGGCCTCACTTTGAGTCTGCGCTGGGCAACAGTCTGTCCCATCTACAAGACCTACTGTAAATATTCACCAAGGCTCTCCAGCACTTTCCAACCCCGTAACCAATGCCAACTAGAAAGACAAGAGCAGCAGATGTATGGGAATACCACCACCAGCAATTTCCCCTCAAAACCACTCACCATCCTAACTTGGAAATGTAATATTCTTCCTTCAGTGTCACTGTGTAAAATCCTCCAACTCCCTCCCTAAAAGTACTAAATGGTTTCCAGCAGTTTATGATAGCAGTTCACCATTCCCTTCTGGTGGGCAGTAGAGAAGAGCATTAAATGCTGGTAATGTCAGCAATGCACTCAATCTCTAACTTTTATTTTTAAAGTTATGGATAGAAACCTTTTAGCAGTGAGGTTAAATGATGAACTGGAATGGGTCCTCTGCTGATGATTTGGTTAGTGATAATAGGTTTTATTCTCTGACAGTCTAGCGGGTAGGTATTCAAAATTAGAAATGCAATTTGATACATCCAAAGCTCAGAATTAATGATAAGTTTAAGCTGTTAATGCATTGAAAAAGGTCTTGCTGAATTCAACTTCTAACTTATTTTCCTGTGCATAGGCTGAAGTAACAGAAAATCAAACTGCATCTATGATGGATATTCTTTTTGAAATGGGATTTTGTGACAGACAACTAAATATGAAACTGCTCAAAAAGCATAGCAACAATCTTGTTGAAGTCGTCACTGAACTTCTCCACATCAATGAGAATGACTGGCATGCTAATCGACACTGAATATATATGATTACGTGGATCACTTCTTAGTTAACATTGAGCTGCCACTTTTTTTTGCACAATAGCAGTAATCAAGGATAACATGACAATGTCAATATTCTAAGAATTCATTTTCAGTGATGTGCTCCATTGCATTAACACGGAGTTCATTTATTATTGAGAAAAATAATGTGCTTGCTTTCTCTATTCCATATTAATCTACAATTCACTTCTTAGTGTTGGTTTTTATAAAGTCAAAGCCAGAAGAAACACAGCTCAAGATGTTTGTCAGTCTTTGAGTCTGTTTAATTATTTTTGGAAAATTAATCCATGTTGTTGATATCCTCATTACACTAAACTCAGAAAATAATACATTAAACACCTCTTTGCATTGCATCATCATGTATATATTTGGTTTTGGAAAAGCAATATTACATGCAGGGTACGATTCTGCATACAGTTAAACACTACAGTAAATCTGTGTCAATGCAATGTGTGTATTAGGGACACATTGTCTTGAACATGCTTTTTTAAAAGTGATTCTTCCAGGGAAGAGCATTCTAGGAGCATATTGTACCCATTTAGACAGATATAACTGAAACTTTGTTTCACATTACCTACTTTGTAGAAACTCTGCAGTTTGATCATCCTTTTAATTTTGCTGTATAACTCAAATATTTAGTGGCTGAAACATGCATTAACAATAATAGCATTTGCTACAAACTTTATTCATTTAATGAACAGGTCTGCTGGTGTTAGAGATATTATTTTGGACTGTGGAAAGTAGAATGTTCATACGCGTGTGTGCATGGTCAGTTGTTGTACATGATAATTTCTTAAGCAGCCACAATATGCATAACACAAAATTAGTCATAATCAGACTATTTTAAAGCGTTAATCTGATGGAGGTAGGAAAAGCTTAATTTGAAAAAGAATTCTCTGCTGGAATTGGGTAAAAGTTACATTTTCTTAAGCTTTTATTTATGCTTTCCTCAACTGGTTCATTATATGGAAGTTATGCATTTTGCAATAGACATTGTAGCTTTAGTTGACAGTCAATATATGCTTCTGAGGTCTGGTGTCCTCAGTAGTTTAGTCTCGGCTATATTGCAAAGCTGACATTTAATATTCTAATGATCTAGAGATGTTTTGTGTCTAGTTTTTAGTAGCAACATACAGTAACGTTTGGTTTAAATCTCTCAATAGGGCTTTGAAATGTAAGTCTCTTAATGGTACTTTTTTCTCTTTTTAGGACTGGAGTATATTTAGGGTTTTGTATTGATCCAATTGCAGATAATTCCAGATTTGTAGGAACCAGCTTTTGCATGTATCACAGTCCATGTAATAATATTATAATTCTCAACCCAAGTATGCCAGCTGTTTTTTTTTTCAGTCTATAAATGGGGTACTACTTTGTGATATTTGTTAGTTAAATGCTTCTGATAAAACTTTGGTTGATACAGTTGGGATTTGAAGAATTCTACTGATATCGAGACTCCTCTTGAGCTGTTTGCTCATTGTGAGCTTTCCAGCAGTTACACAGTTAGATTCTTGAAAGGTACCAAACATGTATATAATTGTTAACTTTTACACACATACCCAAAGGTGGAAATGCATGGCTATATGTGCAATGCCAACTGTTCTTTTACTCAAGATAAAAACCTCTAATAACTCCAGAATCTTCACGTCTGACTTTCTCTGTCTTCCTTTTCAACCCTCACCTATGAAGAACAAAACTTGATCTGCTCAAACAATTGGTTTCTGTGACTGAATTGGTAAGCAGTGATTAAGACATTTTTGATGAGGACATCTGTAGTTCAATTCATTAATAGTTTAAAAAATGAAACGAGTTTTGGATGATGGAGTTTCCATGGTTTGGAATTAATACAAATTGTTGTTAATTGGTTACCAATTAGTTTTCCAGGAAATCCTGATCTTTGAGTAGTGCAAAAGTAAATATTGGTTATGCTAAGGGAAAGTAAAATAATACTTAACATAATGTCAATGTAGACATCCAGTGTTCTTGGTAAAAGAACATTTTAGGCAAAGAAGCAACTTGCTACTTTTTTTTACTTCTGTATCCTATAATTTGTGATTAAAAGAAAAGAAGTGCTAGTAAACCTACTTTTGAGCACAGTTTATGTTCATCTGGAAAAATAATGTGTGATTGTGTGCATTTTAAAAGTTCTGATTTACAATAATAGCATCATATTTAAGTTTTCACTAAAGAAGTCTAAATTTTCAAGATTTGCTAAATACTTTTAGTATCAATTTCAGCTTCATTGCTGCCAAGATGAAATAAACATTAAAATAAGCATTAAAAGCAATAAACAGATAAAATAAATAAGTTTGGACTTGATTTCTGTATTTGCCATTTCTAAATAAGGATCTGATCTGGAGGATACAACAATATTTACAGTTTTGGTGGATATTTTGTAGTAGTTATGAATGTCGTTTAATGCTTAAAAGTGTGTTCACCATAGTTGCTATTGAAGTTGTCCATTCAGTAAGTTGCAGTGCTATAGTAAACAATATGTTGGATGGTTGAGATGAACTTTCTGGACTTCTGTTATAATTTACGTTCTACTATTTTACTCTATGCTGCAAGCTTTTAAATGTCATGAGTACTATGCTGTACTGAATTGTGTGTTGCTGTTTCTTTCAGATAATTGTGTGGCCCAGTCTAGAATTCTTGAAATTGACATTGTATCCTATAGTATACAAGAAAAAATTGCTGTTTCCCCGTAAACTTGTACCATGACACAATTTGCAAATTAGCTTCAGTTACATTGCAATAGTTTAAAATATACATCCAATTATTATGTACCTTTTTGAAGTAATGCAACTATTATCAGTTTACCTTAAAAGTCAAGTATTCAAACTGTTAGCAAAATGCCAGTATTTTAGGTGGATTTAAAACTAAAACATCTATTGGTAGATCTAATACTGTATGGGGATTCCTGGTCAACAGGATTTACACTAACCAGTGGTTTACATGTTTACATAGCTAGTCTTCACAGTATGGTCTGAATGAAGAGTGCACATATGCATTATTCAGTTGATGGGTTCTTCCTTGGTACCATTTCATCTTACAGTTAATGGCTGGTAATCTTACATTTTGGAATAAGAATTGGAGGAAAAATCCTCTAATAAAATAAACTGGAGATAAAATTATACTTCCATATTTCAAGGACATAATGGATATTATACACATAGGAGGCCATTGAACTTTGAATTTCTGCTGTTCATTCATATTCAGCATCCATTCATCCTTTCACATAATTTAACACAACATTCGCAGTATATTAAGATAAAAAAATTAATGCTTTAGTAACTTCTGATGGCTTCGTTTGCACATTATCTACATTTGCATGTAATTGTCTTAAACCAATTGTAGAGTACAGACTTGCGTATATTGCTCAACATTCTTTACAGATCTGTATTTTTCTGTCCTTTTAAAATGTGATGTAAATGAATTTTGAATCCTAGATAAATGAATCAATAAAAGTATTGTTTAAGTACAATGAGGTCTTGCCCTTAATTATCTTTTGGTTTAAGCATCTGTAACATCACAAGACAGCTGAAATTGAATTGGTGTTCTTCCAAACATGTTAGGGCATTTGTTCTGCACTTTTTGTTTTCATTGGTGTTTGTCACTCAACATAGATGTGGTACTGGTCCTTGACTGCTATGAAAAATGAGCAGCTTCCAGGCAAACATTGTTTTGAAAGGTAATGTGTTCTTTCAAATGTGAATGATGTCTGTTTTCATTTTGTTGTCCTTCAGGAATGTGAGCAAGGTTTTATTTGTTTGAAGCATGAATATCTGTGACTTGTTTACTCTCTGTGCAGTGAAAAAAATGCCATCTAATGTAAAGCCACTCCAAACTGGGAAATGTTAAGGTGATCCACAATGAATTTTTTCTTGCTGTACATAGCCACCATGTATACAGAGGAGGAGAGGACGTGCCCTGCCCCTTCCTCATAGGGTCTTTTCTACACAAATAAAAGCAACCCCTTTTTTTTTCCACTCAAGATGTTGCTGTCTATGGCTGGGCCAACATTTATTGCCTGTCCATATTTGCCGTTGAGATGATGGTAGTATGCTCTCTTCTTGAACTGCTGCAATCTATTTGATGTAGGTGTGCCCACAGTGTTGATAGGGAGGTCTTCTAAGATTTTGACCTAGAGGCACTGAAGGAACAGCAATAAATTTCCAAATCATGTGAGTGGCTTGGAGGGGAGCTGCAGGTGGTGGTATTTCCATGTATTTGCTTCCCTTGTCCTTCAAGATGGACATAGTTGTGGGTTTGGAAAGTGCTGTCTGAAGTCTGTTAGATATCTCATCTAAGCAAGTGGCGAGTACTCCATCACACTCCTGACTTGTGCCTTGTAGATGGTGCACAGCCTTTAAGGAGTCAGAAGCTGAGTTACTTGCTACAGTGTTCCTGGTTCTGACCTGCTCTTACTGCCACAGTATTTTACTATTAGTCTAGTTCAGTTTCTGTTCAATAGTAAATCATAGGATGCTGCTAGTGGAGGATTCAATCATGATAATGCCAAGGCCATTCCACATTCGCTAATAGTCCCATATCATCTCTGAAATTGACTATTACTGTTTGACAGCAATGCTGAATCAAAAGCAACCATAAAATCAACATTCCAAGTTAAATTTATAAGCCAAGCTGTACCATTTTCATATAAAATGTCACTATCATTCCGTTAATACCTGTCCTCCATGTGCTTTTGTCCCTCTTCTCCTATGCCCTAGTAGCTGCAGCATGACAAATGAAAGGCTACTGACTTTTATTATGGGGAGCTTGCAGGACAAACTTGAGCAGTTAGAAAGCCCAATTTTGGACTACACTGCCTCAGCATTTGTGGCAGCAGTCGGAATTTGGGTGTCAGCCAGCTCATCTTAAGTTCTGAAGAAGGGTCACTAGACCTGAAGTGTTAACTCTGATTTCTGATTTCTGTCCACAAATGCTGCCAGACCTGCTGAGATTTTCCAGCAATTTCTGTTTTTGTAGCTGATCTTACCCAATTTCAGTTTGAGCTTCCAACTATTTTCAGCATCCAGACATTTAGATGGGATTCTACTTGTGTTTCTGTGATAGCTGAGCCATCGTCAGAATTTACATCATGGCTGGGTTGGCAAGTGTGCTAATGAAGTTTGCCAACACTTTTGTGTTGACAAGGGTGGAATCTGAACTCTGTGGAAAACACTGTGCTAAGTTGATGCTAGGCTCCTGTGTGCTCCTTAATGCAGGCCGCAGGCTTTCTGGCGGGCCTGCCAAAACAGATCCATTATTTTCCTCCTCGGAAGTAATTGTGGATGAGCATTAAGCAGGGGAGGATACCAGTAATCTTTGGTTTTAATCACACTGCCTGCCATGGTTCTCATCTTTGGCGACTCCAGTGATGACAACCCTTGCTTTCTCCATCAGGTTAAGGGCGTGCAGCCATGTATGTCCCCACTCTGTCATGTGCCACATTGTTCTACATAACAAAAGCAAGTGTTACCAATGAATGTAATACAAATTAAGGGTGATGTGGCTGTCATGCATGTGTGGCTGGCATGTGTGCAAGCTGTGAGATGTGGTCCAAGGTTTGCAGCTTTCCCATGGTGAGGTGAAGCTTTCAGTGATGGTTGTGAATCGTGATTGGTTTGAGATTGTTGCCCGGTGAGTGCATTGAGCAATGTGTGAAGCTGGAGTTGCAATTGTTGTTTACTGACCTTGATCATTCATTTGAGATCCTTGAACTTCTTGATGCACAGTATCCAAGTCATTGGGGTTAGATTTATGGCATCGATCACCATTCCTGTCAAAGTAAAATCTTCGAACCCGCCCTCCAACTGAATGTGTCCTCCTTATGTCCACTGTGTGAAAATCATTTTATCTTTACCTTATGCTACAATGACACCTCCATTTAAGAGGTGTGAGTTGGCTGAAACTTGCACTGACCTCATGATTATGTAATCGCTGTTCAGGTATGTTGCTACTCAACATGCTCACTGCACGTAGCAATCATTTAAACTTGGTAGCATGAAGTTTACAATTCTCTGCATTGTTTGTCTCATTGCAATGAAACATGACTACACATCTAAGGAGATACTTCCCGCATGATTGACTGTCAGCTGCAAAAGAATTGTCTTTAATTTTGTTTTATTCATTCAAGGGATGTGGCCATTGCTGGTTAGGCAGCATTTATTGCCCATCCCTAATTGCCAAGAGGGCAGTTAGGAGTCAACCACATTGCTGTGGTTCTGGTATCACACGTAGGCCAGACCAGGTAACGATGGCATTTTTCTTCCCTAAAGGATGAGTGAACGTGATGGGTTTTTTCCGACAATCAGCAATGGGAATTCATGGTCATTATTAGACTCTTAATTTCAGGTTTGATTTTATTGAATTCAAATTCCACAATGGCTGGATTCAAATTCAGCTCCCCAGAACATTACCTGGGTCTCTGGATTAACAGTCCAGCAATAATACCACTAGGCCATGGCCTCCTCTTCATACAGAAACATTGCCTTTTGTGCATTATCAAAATAATAGCCCATTAAACTAGTAAAATGATAACGGACCTATGCAAAGCATTGATGTGGATTTCCCCTTCAATGACTTTTCTTCACCAAAAGATTACAAATCATCATTGGACCATACAGAGTTACAACTGATTTAAGGTGATGTTGAATGATTGGTCAGGCTAAGTTGTGCAATTGCTTTTCTGAAATGGGAGACGAGGTCATTGTAACAAATCTTTCAGCTGGAAGGTAGGCCTCGTACTTGTGTTTGCATAATCCAGTGGGGGGGCGGGGTGGAGAAATGGCTGAAGTTCTGAGGAAGGGTCACTGAACCTGAAACATTCTCTCTGATTTCTGTCAACAGATGCTGCCAGACCTGCTGAGCTTTTCCAGCAATTCTGTTTTTGTCTCTGATTTTTAGTGTCTCTGATTTGTTTTAATCCAATATAGGGAAACTTGGAATTCGGCAAATTAATTGTTCTTCTCCCTCCTTTGTCTATTTTCTTGCTTCATTTCACCAATTTCTTCCCTACACCATTTGTATCATAATATAAAACAAAGAACTGTGGATGCTGGAGATCTGAAACAAAAGAAAACAAATTGCTGGTGAAACTCAGCAGATCTGGCACCATTTGTGAAAAGAAAACAGGGTTAATGTTTGAGTCCAGTGTCCCTTCTTCAGAACTTTGTGTACCATATGTATAATGCTTTAGCCCTGTTTGTGAATTGTTGCCCCTATCTAAGAATTATTATTGTAAGAGGTGAGTGAGTATCCATTTTAACTTAATCACGCATTATTTAAGGTTTCCTTTTTTCAGTTTGGTGCTTAAACACAATATATAAAAGCCAAACAATCATTTTCATTCAGTGGGAATACGAAATTCAAATTTAACTAAGGTATGAAAAAATCCCTCTTTTGCCTTAGGCACTTGTTGCTGACAATGCCTTGACAGCATTTTACTGATGTTACTTGCCATTAAGTGACACTGTGTGACTCCTTCCAGTTTGGATGCAGTTTAAGGGTCTGACCAGATGGTGAAGCTCTGAATCATTTCTAAACACTGAACAGTGAAAGGTAAAGTGACCATAGTCCCAATCTCTCATTCGAGAGAGATGACTGGTGGTGGTTTAATGTGAGGATCACCATGCTTTGGGCAAGGAACATTCATGGAGACCTGAGCCAGTGCAGGAATTGAATTGATGCCTGTTGGCTATCCAGCCAACTGAGCTGAATAATAGTTACATAATCAATGCAGAAACACAAATGATACTGTCGCTGCTGTCTTTTCCAAACATCTGGGAATCTTCATAGTTGGAAGTTTAAACTTGCCCGTGTTCCTTTAGTTAAAAGCAAACTTTGTGCACGTGCAGTTCTTCCCGAGCCACGGCTTCAGTGCTGAAGGTGATTTGAATAAATTTGGAACACATCTCTCAAATCAAAGAAATAATTTCATGTGAGAGTTGAAAGCCATTTGGTCTTAGAGCAACATTAGAAGACACCAGGAAGCATGTCCCCGACCCCTCGATGAGAAATAATGTGGAAGAACAATAAAAAGGTAAATGTATTTCTCCTCAAATTTCCCTTTTTTACTGTTACTCTTTCATTGTTAACTTGTTTCTGGATACGATCCATGAAAGGCCATTACACTAGTGCTTTATCTGAATGTCTTATTAGTCAGTATAGGTCCCTGGCTATAAGCAGAAACCCATCAATTTCACTGGAGGGGTACTGAGGCTGAATTTGCTAACTCGGGACAATGTTCAGACACTTTAATTCTATGTTAATAAAAAATTCCCTTGTGATAAGAGTAATTTTCATGGGTGCATTTCAATCAATGAGAATCTGCATGTGTGTATTGATATTCCATTTGCTAAAGTTTGTTTAATTGCACTGAACCTTTGTATTTCTTGCCAGTTTTGTTTTGTTTCAAAATTTCTCACCTTTTTTTAGTTTCATAAGACACTATTGCAGCTCACATATATTTGAAAAGAAAAT